ATGAAACCTTGAAATTTGAATGGCAAATTTGGTAAATAGGGAGTATGATCAATAAATTCAAAGCCTCAGTGAAGCATTTCAGAAGTGACAACAATAGCCTTGTACACAGGTGTGTAGTCCTGGTTGTGAACATTGCAAATGATTTTTGTACCTTGTTTAACTTCGATATTCTCATGCATTGGTCTGACTAGTCCAAAAGCAGGGTTTATGTGGAATTAGTGTTGGGAATCGGAAGCCCAATCCACTATCGATAATAGGAGGACTTGTGGTGATCGATTATCGCTTATAATCGAAATATATACATTTTTAATATAATCACCAATTTTAAGGGTTTCCCGTGTTTTTGTAATTAATGTTTTTTGATCTCCCGCCGCACGTTTAGGGCGAAGCGGGGGATATAATATTAGGCTCCGTCCGTTTGTCCGTAGGTCCGTACGTACGTATGAATTGGAATATCTTAAGAACCGTTGACTAGATTCTTTTCATATTTGGTACCTAGGTCCATCACAGTATAAGAAAGGCCCAAGTCAGGTTTGGTGACCTTGACCTTCATTTCAAGGTCACAAGGGGACTTTAACATTTTACCTGCATGTTAAGCTATCTCAAGAACTGTTCACTGGATTTTCTTCATATTCAACACCAAGCTTTATCTAGGGAAGGTGCAGGGCCCAGTCGATTTTGGTGACCTTCACATAATTTTCAGGGTCACGACGACACTTTGAAGATTTCAGCATGTTAACCTGAATTGGCAGCAAGATATTTCAAGAACAGTTCACTGGATTTTCTTCATAGACTTCCCTTGAATGTTTTTCAATACGCAATTTCTTGAGTACTATTTTTGCATATTTCATACACTATGACATTCATGTCAAGGTCAAAGTCAGTCTTGAAAATATGTGTGTGTTTGAACAACTAAAGAGCAAGATATCAAGAGAGTTTGACTGGTCATGTTTTTGTTGACATTTTACTTCATCTTAAACTTTCATTACTTTACAAGTTTGATTCGATAATTTACGGCGGGGGATTATGTCACTTTAGTGACAATGCTTGTTTATAACTAATACTGTCATGCAATCAAATGCACACATGCAAGAAAGTTATTACTGAAGTTTCCTTGGTGTTGCAGTCAACAGTACACATTTATTTTTAATGAACTATACACAGTTGTGTTCTTTAACGGTTGACAGTGATGGTTCCATTGAAGTATGACTGATTGGAAAGACTTACAGTGTCAATGATCAGGGTTTAGAGACCATGTTCAAAAGTTCAGTTTATGATAAAAATATACCTTAAGTTTTAAAACATATCCTCCCATGTCCTTATTCTGAAAATGTCACGAAGAATGACAAAACATATTTGTAAGTTGAATTTGTTTGATGGAAAACCTACAGGGCCATTGACAGGGCCATTGACAGGGCCTTATTAGCAATGTATTTTCAATATGACTATGAGATGTAGCTGTTCAAAGGGATCTTTGCCCAATGATGACTAAGTCTTAAGGTTGAGGAGCTAAGACCATCTTAGCGCTAAGATCACTTTGTACAACCACACTCTTGACTTAAAATTCATATACAGCATTAAAGCTTTAGCAAGAGTTTCAAGGGACACCATGGTTTGAAATAGTGTTCAACTGTGTCATGGCACGGTAAATATTCAAAGGGCATGGATGGAATATTTTCAATGTGGCCTGGCAGCATGTATGAAAATAATTCTCTTTGTCATTCATTTTAAAGAAAGTGCAATAAATTTGACCTACTGAATCATTCAAAACTTATATACCACCCCATCAAACTGTTTATCGGTGGCACCCTCAATCACACAGCTTAAAATGGGCGTGGCCATTTTGAATGCCAATGCACAAAAGAGGAAATCTTGTTTTGGATGATAACATAGTTTGTGGGTTAGTTTATGGGTCCTGGATGAATGAAGCTGAACTATTCTTGCAGGTATGACAGGGTTAGTTAATGGGTCAAGAGCAAATGAAACCATTTTTGCAGACATGATGGTGTTCACGAAATTCAGGGGTGGTGGGGTAGTCTAGTGGTTAAAGCGTTGGCTCGTCACGCCAAAGACCCGGGTTCGATTCCCCACATGGGTACCATGTATGAAGCCCATTTCTGGTGTCCCCCGCCATGATGTTGCTGGAATATTGTTAAAAGCGGCGTAAAGCCAAACTCAGTCAGTCAGTCAGGAAATTCATTTCTCAAGTTTACAGGTTTTCATGATGTTTACTGATTTCCATGATGTTTACTGATTTCCATGATGTTTACTGATTTCCATGATGTTTACTGATTTCCATAATGTTTACTGATTTGAAATGACATAATTGTTGTGATTTTTTAAGTTTAACTGTATCATCGAAAGGTATGGGCTCACTTGTTTTCACACAGGCACACCTAAAAGATCTGTCTGGTGCTGTATGGCAGCCTTTAAAAAATGCATTTCTATGCCTGGGTACTCATCATCAGCAGTCCAGATATAAAGTACACCTAGATTCAAATACCATAAAAAAAGACATCAAGGAGTTGTGAACTCTGATTTGTCCAAAACTGGGTCAGAAACCTGTAGCATTTGTATATGATCTGTGTAGGAGACGTGCAAGAGAAGGTTACTCAGTTACAAAAGGAAAGGTTGCATATTATATCCATCTGTGTTCCAAACAGGAAGTTATGTGGCTTGGGATTTACCCGCTTTGCTCACAAAGAAAGGGTTGTATACTTTGGGCTTTGTCCTTCCTGTACGGATGGGACGTAAAATTTTGTTTTATGGTTAGGTAAACAGAACCACTATATATGATAATATTTAATAGTTTTTAGCTGTTAATAAAACTTGGATGTGACGTCAGAAACTGTGCAGATTTGAGATGTGACCTTGTCAAACTGCATATTTGAGATGTGACCTTGTCAGAAACTGTACAGATTTGACATGTGACCTTGTCAGAAACTGTGCAGATTTGAGATGTGACCTTGTCAAACTGCATATTTGAGATGTGACCTTGTCAGAAACTGTACAGATTTGACATGTGACCTTGTCAGAAACTGTACAGATTTGAATAAATTCATCAGATTGTCCCTACTGTTTAAGGGCTAGCATGGAGGTGGGAGTGCATGCTCTATAGTGGACAAGCTGTCTGAGTCAGCCATTACCTTTCCTTGCATGCAACCTATCACCTGCTTCTGGCCTTATCCATATGCATGATGCATGATTTATGTATGGTACATGAACCTTAATCTAACTATTTTCCTTTTCTTCAGATGCATGTGTTGTATTATGAATGAATGTGTTCCTCGCGGTAACGATTCTAAGAGTTGTGTCAGTCTCAACCTCAGAACCGACAATAGGCTTCATCCATCTAGTGCTTTTACCTTGATTTCAAGAAAAAGGTCGAGAATTGTTAAAGAGGCAAAGTGCTCAATTGTGTTTGTTGGCATGCTTAGTGTGGATACAATAAAAGGTGTTCCTGCTAATCTTTTCCTTTAAATAATTTAAAAAACCCATCCTGTCTCCCACTTCATGTTTTAAGGAAACAATCCTATAGAAATATTTGTTTTAATATGTTGAAGACACACTTAGTTGAGGTCCTGTGGCTGGCTAAAAATATCTTGTCCCAGTTTGTTTGTGCCTGGAAGAAAAATGTTCTCCACACACCCCTTGAATACAGGTGTATATGATGGTCACGACATGGATAGTTCTTCATGTTATCAACCACTAGTCTCAGTCTAAATAAACTTAGGCTCAGTATTATTCGTTACACTGCTATACTGAGTCTGACAGAACCTTGTGGAAGGTCGCTTCAGATAACCTTTTCAATTGTCCAATCAGAACACAGCTTATCAAATCGCGAAAGTTGACATTCGCACATACCTTTTGAACTTTTACCTCCAAAAAGTTTGTACCGAACGATTCCAAATGCTATTTTCCGTACGATCGGTTCCTAGTGAGGCAAGCCACAGCAGTGAGTAAACAGTCGCTGAAACTAGCATTTTGTCAGTATTCAAGAATGTCAGCTTGCTGAAATATTAGCTAATGATAGCCATGTCACCAGAAACCCCAAAGCATATATACTGCAGGGCAAATATCTGTGTTTTATGTAATTTTGTTGGGAGATCAGTGTTGGCGAACGGGGAAGAGAAAATCTATTTTGCAAGTCACACCGAACCCTTAATAGTAGCTGTTGTCTGATTGGTTAAATCCGTTCGTCCGTCTCGCTTTTGATTGGACGGTCATAGGTCGCTCAAAGGTTACCTAACGCGACCTTCCACAAGGTTTTGTTAGACCCAATATAGCAGTGTAACGAATAATACTGAGTCTAAGTTTACTTAGACTGCCACTAGTCTGAAATTGAATGACATGGCATTAGAAAACAGATTTGATGGAGTTATGATATTGCAGGCTGCAGAGTATGCCAACAATCACTCCTTCCTTGAGGTTCAGGGACGGTGGGGTAGCCTTGTGGTTAAACTTTAAAGCATTCGCTCGTCAAGCTGAAGACCCGGGTACGATTCTCCACATGGGTACATTGTGTGAAATCCATTTCTGGTCTCCCCTGCCGTGATATTGCTGGAATATCGCTAAAAAATGGTGTAAAACTAAACTCACTCACTCGCTCCTTCTTTGAGGTCCTTTGGGGAAGCCAAGTGTTTAGGGTTGTTCAATTATAAGAGTTGGATTAACTGCACATGATGCAAAGTTCTTTTCTGGAGTCCTTTGATGTGATTTTACAGGAACATTGTTGAAAGTGGCATGTAACTTTCCCGGTCAATAGCATTCTAAATGTCACGTTTCAAGCAGGCAAATAGATTTATTCTTATGTACATTATGTTTTGCGTATTTGACGATCCTGAGTAAATTATCAATTTTGGAAAGTATACTCGTGATCGTGTTGAATTATGGGCCATATGCCTGGGTTTGCCTGAATGTTTGAATTTTAAAGAGAACTTGAACTTTGGTGAATTCTTGTATGTGATGTGGTGAATGTCATTTTAATCTTCTTCTTTCAGATTCCATGAAAGAAAAAGAACTTTTACAAGAAAAGTGTGAAAATGACAGAGTAAGTCTTTTTGTCTTCAAATCTTTTGAAGGGCAGTGACCCTCTGGGGTTAGGCAAGTTAGCTGTACAGAGTTGTGTCCTAGATACCTATCATTATCAGTACTTGTTTGCCCTGATAGAGAGTTCCCAGGTTGGTCAACAACATACCTGTGCTCTTGGGTTTCAAAAGTAGTAAATGTCAAAAACCTGCATCCAGATTAGATTATTTAGCTGGAATATTTCGGAGTGTGGCATTAAACAATAATCAATCAAGCAAGCAATCAATCAATCAATCAAAAACCTGCATAATTTTTGGGTTTCCTCGAGCAGACGGCATGATGTATGTGAAATGCAAAATGATAACTACTCAACTCTTTTTGAGAAAGTCTTTTTGTTGCGGTAGATTGCATTAAAAAGCATTGATAAAATTGAATTACGTGTTTCATATGCCATGCTTGTCAATGATTCCTCATTAAGTATGCTGAATGTATGTAGACACTAATGATAGCTCCAACTCGTGGGAATTTTTGTTGTCATTTTTAGCAGTAGTCTCCAAATCCAGCGGAATAACAGTGTCGTGGCATAACAAAATGGGGACAAAATAAAGACCAGAATTGGGGTGTTGGGTAGCCTAGTGGTCAAAGTGTTAGCTCTTCACTTTGGGAAGTTCTATTTAACACTTTGACCACAAGGCTACCCAACACCCAAATTCTGGTCTTTATTTTGTCCCCATTTTGTTATGCCACGATATCACTGTTATTCCACTGGATTTGGAGACTACTGCTAAAAATGTTAGCTCGTCACGCTGAAGAACCAGGTTCGACATGGATACAATGTGTGAAGCCCATTTTTTATGTCCCCCGCCATGATATTGCAGGAATTTTGCTCAAAGCGGTATAAACCAAAAATATTTATTCACTCAGACCAGAATTAATGAACAGACAACTGTGATATAGCTGTCATAAAGCTGATTTGTTTCTAATTGTGGTGTAATTGAGATATTGTTTGTTAAGCTGAATGTGAGATATAAAACAATAGCTGAATTGAGATATTGTTGGAAAATGGCTGAATGTGGTGTGAAAACATTCACTGCTGCCATCTGATCATGCTGAAGTGAGCTCAAAGCAGTATGTGGTGAGTAGCATGGGATGGTGGGGTAGCCTAGTGGTTAAAGTGTTCGCTCATCACTCTGAAGACCCAAATTCGATTCCCCAAATGGGTACAATGTGTGAAGCCTTTTTCTGGTGTCTTTCCTCTGGTATCGCTTTGAATATTGCTAAAAGCTGCTGCGAAACCTAACTCCAATCACTCACACTTGCTAAAAGCGTATTTGATGCCAATCTCAAATTCTTAAAATATTTCACTATGCAACATTGTTATAATCTATTCATTCGCCTTTACAGCAAGAGTTCGCAACAGATCTGATTATTTGATTGAAGAAATTCCTTTTAATAATTTTCACTATGTACAAGCTTATTACAGTATTTCCTTCCTTTTACACGGCAAGGGTTCGTCCAGCAGATTGAATTCTTTGAATTTCTCAACATAAGATGTTGAAGGTGAGATCCTTTTGTTTGAATGTTTGCAATAATGATGGTAAATCTCATCTCTGTATTTTTCATTTAATTCAGGCGATTATGTGTAGTGTTATAGTTGTAGCAATATGTGTTCATTTAATTCATCATTTGTGGTGTTAAGTTGTAGCAATATGTGTTCCATCATTTGGGAAGATTCCTTTGAATAACCGTCTGCAGTTAACTGCGAAGCCAAAGTTCATGTTTTGGCTGTCAATCACACTAACAAATCTATAAGTCTTGGTGACATATCCCCTTAACCATGTGTTCACTGCAAACGTATCTATTAGTTGTATAAATCTTGGGGGGCGGTGGGGTAGCCTAGTGGGTAAAGCGTTCACTTGTTATGCCAAAGATCCGGGTTCTATTCCCCACATGGTTACAATGTGTGAAGCCCATTTGTGGTGTCCCCTGCCATGATATTGCTGGAATATTGCTAAAAGCAGCACACAGCCATGCTCACTCACTCACTCACTCACTCACTCACTCACTCACTCACTCACTCACTCACTCACTCACTCACTCACTCACTCACTCACTCACTCACTCACTCACTCACTCACTCACTCACTCACTCACTCACTCACTCACTCACTCACTCACTTATGGTCCCTGTCATGATATTACAGGAATATTGGTTAAAGCAGTGTAAGTCTGAATTCATGCTGTTGTGAAGTAAACAACTGAACTTGTAAAAATGTGAAATCAGTTCACATGGATCGAGGGGACAGTAGAGTAGCCTAGTGATTACAGCATTTGCTTGTCACACTGAAAACCCAGATTTGATTCCCCACATGGGTACAATGTGTGAAGCCCATTTCTGGTGTCAATTTAGAAATTATTTAGAAATTTGAACTACGAAAAATTTCTTTAACCAATAAGTTGAAAACTAATTTGATATATCCTCACAATTTGAACATAACATAGAATAAGCAGGCCCCAGTACCAGGTAATGTGTCAGAAAGAACTCTTTCATATCAGACTGGTGAACTGTTTGCAAGCTAATTATGTTTTTTGTGATTATTAACCCTTTCAACACCACAGGCCGCTTAAGCGGCCACAACGTTATGAGTCCCCAGACACCGGAGGCCGCTTAAGCGGCCAGGCAGTAGTCACGTCAAAATGAGACATAATTTTAGGAACTTACCTGACTTATGATTCATATATTAAATCCATCACATTTCACAATGTCTGGAAACACTTATTAAATTTCAATTGATCATATATTATCGGCAGAATTAAAATTATAAACTATTTTTCGCAATGTAATTGAAAACAACGATTCTCGGACACATGCTTCGGGAGCGGGTCAACAATAACATTGTCAAAGAGCAAAGTAACGATGTTTCGAGGAAATGATTAAATAAATAGAATAAACTAATGAATAAAATCAACAACAGCTTTCATAAAAGTTGTCAAACGTACATATAAAATTACTTTTTCCATCTTTTTGTGCGATCATGTAATACAAGTCAAATCAATGACAAGTGACATCTCGGCTCTCGCCGCCTCAATCTTCATGCTCGGACACGATGTTTAATGTGAAAATATATGCATGAAGCATTTTTGTCACAGGTCATAACCTAGCACGATACGTCCAATAAGTCCCATAATTATGTATATGTAGCGATTTCTTGCTTAATATGTTCAGAATAGCATTATTTTACCCAAAACTTTCGTCTAAATCTAACAGTTTTCGTTTACGAGGACAGTATCCATTGCCGTAATATGATTGGCTGCCTTAGGTCACGTGTCTGATTTTGACCAATCACGACCCTTAAAACAGACTGTAGCGAAAAAGCGTCATTAGAAACCAATTTTTATCCAATAAAATCGCTTCTTACAACTGTGAAAATATACTCGCAAGGGTTCAGTGATGTTGTTGATGTTCAGAGCTTTTCGAACGATACCGGCATCAAACGATTCGCCTCCCATGTTATTCATAATGAAGCTTCAAAACGGAGGTATTTTCCGTTGTTATGTCATGTTACCGAAAGGAAAGCCACAGATATCGGGAAATAGGCGACCATACATATTATTTAAGAAATCTTTTTATAATAATTTTCTGATTACGTAAAAGTGAAAATATAAAAGAAAAAGGCACGGGCATGTTATGACATGTCACAAATGGAAAAAAATCGCCTTAGTTTTTGCTTCTTTCGTGGTTTATCTGGACGTTATAAATGTAAGCTTGCATTTTCATTCAAAATAATTTTATTTAAGTTGTAGTTGTATTATTTGAATAATATTATAAAAATAAACTTCATATTTATCAACAGTAGGATTAGATCTTTTAAATGGTGTATGGGATGTAGTAGCAATAACGTTTTACAAGCTTATAATTTCCTTCATAAACATAGGCTTCATCTATGACCTCAGAGTCTCGGGGAACTCGGTGTCATGGCAGTAAATGCCTCTGGTTGACTGGTGTTGAAAGAGTTAATGATAATTCCAACAGTTTTACTCTTGGATTTCTTATTATGAAATCTGTACAACCACAAAGTAGTTTACGTGGTGTAATTGCAAGAAGCTGCCTCTGATTGAAAATGTGCCTCATTATTGTTATCTAGGGTCAGCATGATGAACTAGAGGCAGAAAATGGCCGTCTGCAGCAGGACATGCAGAAAGCACGAGATGACAATGCCAATGTTGAGGCTCAGCATAGACAGGAATTCAGCCAGATGAAGCAGGAGAAAGAGCTGGAAATTGCCAGCCTGAGGGGTAGGCAATATAGTGTTATCTCCCCTTACTTACTTCAAATGAGATGTGTATGTGCTGGATACTGCCTTCACCAGGGGTAGGGAAATATCGTGTTATTATCTCCCCAGGCATCTACCAGCTCATGTGTACATGTGGTGGATATTACCTGCCTCAGGGGTAGGGAAATATCAAGTTATCTCCCTGACATTGTCCAGCTCAAGTGTACATGTGCTTGATACAAGCTTCCTCAGTGGTTGGGAAAAAGTGTTATCTATCCTGTCATCTTCTGGTTCATGTGAACGTGTGCGGGATATTACCTGCCTCAGGGGTATTGAAATAGTGTTATTCTGTCAAATGGCGTCCTCTTGCTGAAATGTGCATGTGTGGGATATTTCCTGTCTCGGCGATGGGGAAATATGGTATGATCTTCACTGACAGCCTCCAACAGTTGGAACTTAGGGAACAGAGAAAAATTGTGGTCTTGTTACTTACTACAACACCCGTGAAGATCCGGGTTAGAATTGACCTTCAGCAACCCATGATTGTCGTAAGAGGCGACTAACGGGTGTCAGGATACTGATGATGATGTCAATCAATGGGTTGTCTGGTCAAGTCTTGATCATTTACAGACCATATAGTTGAAATATTACTGAGTGTGGTGTTAACCCCCTGGATGCCACAGGGACATATATGTCCTTCCCCTTCAACCCTCAATTTCAAGTCCAATAAAAATCAAAATATCCCACGCACACAAATACACTTCACAGTTTCGAATTCTGTGGGAAATTTCCTGTTTCTTGATACCATCCACTATTATTTTAGACAAAGCTCAAGTGCTGAAAATGACCGGATAAATTTACTGTTTTTTAGCGCATAACAAACTTTGGACAACATTTAGCAGTGTCTATTTCTCAAACCGCCAAGGTAGTTGCACTTATATTTATACCAACGGATAGGAAATTTAATATTCTACATTTCTGTGTACTTTTATAGCCGTATGTAGATCCAGGACCACGCTGATAATTCTCGCTCTCGCACAACGCTTCACTTTTCAAACCGTATGAAAATGTGCGCCTGAAAAAAACTCAGCATCAAGGGGGTTAAACAATAGACACAAAAACCCAACAACAAACTTACCACAGAATAATAATGTTTTCATAGCTGCTCGGGTCAGATCTCACCAATAAATTGACCATCACCATGTTTACTTCTCTTAAAGGGAAACTGGTAAAAATGTTACAGATCAGATTGCCAACATCCAAAGGCAGAATGACAACCTCCAGAACGAGATCTCCACTCTCAAGGCCCAGCTCGAGAACAGCCAGGTAAGGCCTGTGGGGGTCTGGTAAGGGAGGTAAATCTAGGATGTTATCACCCATTCGAGTGCATATCACATCATATGATTTCATAGATTTTTTCTTTGCTACAAGAGCTGAGAGATAACTTATTTGGTAGAATATTGACTGAGTGTTTGAAATGTGTTAACACCGAGCTCAGAAATATATCTATAATTTACTACATGTATCGCTTGCTAACAACAGCTTCAAAAACACCATTCATTCACTCACTCACTCTACTTGCTACAAAGGCCCAAACACATGACTTGTTTCACAGGTTCTTTGGGGGAAATGTTTCAGTGTAGCACAGAAACACAAACAATGATGTTATTTTGTGTTTTTAGTTGTCATCCGAATAATTGAAATAATCAAAGATTGGTCGCAATGACTAAACAACCAATCAATCGATCATGTTTCTCATAATCGAACACAAACAATTTTGGAACACTTATTTGCTTTAACAATATGTTTCACAAGGTTGGTTTTGTCTGTGTCATTAAATTTACATTTCATAAGCACTACCAGCCTGTTCCAAATCAGGATTGAATTTATCTTAAAGACTCCAGGAAATTTATGTTCCTAACATACGAGTCATCCTTTAAAGATGTCAAATTTGCATAGGCATTTTGTTCAGTTTGCAAAAAATTCTAAAGAACTACTTTATTTTTGCTTTATTTTTTGTGCATTAACAAACATAACCAGGAAAATTTCATAAATGAAACTAACCTATTATTTTCGATGATTGATCGGTTGTTATGAACCAATCATCAATTATGAGATTTTAACCAATTCCCAACACTAGTGGTTTTCTCTCCTATTGTGAAACAATGTGTGTTATTTACATCTACTTTGGGTGATTTAGGAAATGATTACAATTTTTGGCAAATTCAAGAAAGGGATCTGTGAAACAAGGACTGGTTATTTGTTTTGCCTGATTAGATAGATTTTGCTGTTAGTTACTCAATATGTGTGTTTTGATTTTGTATTTTGTTGCTTTATTTTATATTGCCTGTTCTATACCCGCCTGTTCTATATTCGATTTCATTCTTTAAGATTATATTTTTCCTTTGTCAATTCAATTCCATTTACACCCAGCTTTCACAATAATTTCTATTTGTTTTATTGTTATGAAATCTTCAAACTTAGCTCCTTCCTTCCCACAGCTTGTACACATATATAGATATTAGTGGTCAGCCAGTTCGTTATGGAAATAGTGTCAGTGTATCGGTTCACCTGGCCTGGTGGTTGGTGTGAACTTTCTGCATGGTATGTTGTCCTCGGGGTTTCCTGGGTTGGAATACTTCTCCACCATCTTGTGTTATAAATTGGGTGGTATGTGGTGGTAACCCAGCAGTTAAAGCTTTTTCTCATCACACAGAGACCAGGGTACCCCACATGGGTACAATGTGTGAAGTCCATTTCTGTTGTCATTTGCTGTGATATTGCTGGAATATTATTAATAGCGGTGTAAAACCCAACTCACTCACAAATGGCATGGTCAGTTGGTTGACAGGGTGTCATATCCCGATAACATACGTCATTGCTTATAAGAGGCAATGCTGTTATTATGCCGGAATGTTGCTGAATGTGCATCTTTACATAAAAGTAATCCATTAACTTTGATTACCTTTTTCGAGACTACTGCAGGATACAAAGCTAAAATATTGTCTGAAAAGGTGTGATTTTAATTCTGGAATGAATCCCTTTGCAATTTTCAGGTTCCCCACATGGGTGCAATGTGTGAAGCCCATTTCTGGTGTCCCCAGTGTGATACTTGGTGGAATATTGTTAAAAGCAACATAAAACTAAACAAACTATACTCACTCACTCACTCATTAATTTTGGGATGATGTAATAAAGCAAATGGAAAACTTCACAACCTACTCAATTTTGAAGTGTTATCTTACACTAAAGAAAAACAATGGCAATATATTGATGATATCTATAAACGTATAATATATATTGGGAAGTGTATGTGTAGTAAAGATTTGAAAGCAATAGTGAGCTACAGTGCTTTGGTGAAACTATCAGTAAATGTTAGCCTTGGCTGATTGGTCCAAATATCCGCCCTCTGTCCCTGACCTTTGAGCTGATTGGGTTTCTCTCTGTGTAGAAACAGTTAATAGTGGACCAGGGTACGGTACGACGCCTGGAGCAGGACATCTTTAGCTACAAGGTGCCAGTTGTCAGTTTATATTTAAAGCAGTTCATCCTTCCTAGGCAATAACAACCTTTCTGACAAATGGCGATTATTTTCTCCTTGTCAAATTAGATTGATTGTTTGTATAACTAAATATGGACACTTTCAACTCAAAACATGTTTCAAAACTAAAATAGATCAGTGGAGAGCATTATTTTGATGGTTTTGTTTGCGTTTCAGAAAGTTTTAGAATGTGTCCATCACATTAGTATAGATACAGCATTTCTTTTAAATATTTCAACCATCCATTGCCCCTTGAAACTTAGCAACCTTTGCCATATGACTGTATTATCGAATAGTATCGAATACACTCTGATTACTTTGAACAGTATGGCCAAGAAAGTATGGAGAATAAGAGTGTAATTTATGTGCTCCCAGTGTCATCAAAATATGAACAAGATCTTGGTAAATGGTCTTGATGATACACATGTATCAATCTTATGTTCAATATTTCCATTTGTTCAGAAATGTTGTCTGTTAAACCCTAAGTGATACATCAGTGTTAAATATGTATTATTGAAGCGAAATGTCTAGGAAGGATACAGCTCCTTGCAATAGAATACAAGCTAATTTTGAAATGTCATTTACATGCAAACATGTTATATATGAATATCACATAGATGGAAATAAGCAGTTGGATTGACATTGGCAAGGGTTGAGAAGTCTGTTGTTTGCCATTTTATCAATGTTGGGGTTGTTTTATTTTCATTAGAAACAACAAAGTGCAGACCAAGGTATGCTTCATCAACTGGAGAAACAACTGGTTGTGCAAAAGGTGCTTGTTATCTCCCTTGAATGTAATTCTTGCCACTGGGTGAACGTAATGGTGGTAGTGTCTTGCTCATAAAAATGATGGAAGGCATGATTGGGTCAGAACAGGTTTTGTGTCACTGAAGTAATATTAATTGGAGCAGTTTGTGATAATGTTGCCTAATTTTCTTGCTGCAAATTAATATCCTGCATCGCTTGATGATTATATTTTTGTTGCTTTTTTTTTTGTTACCTCCAACACCCTTTCACTCTTTAATACTTTTTGTTGTCACTAATATTTCTACTTTTATTTTTTAATATTGGTATTGACTGTTTAACCATGCATATAGATCTGTATGATATGTTGCCCAGTGGCATGAGGGAGTTACCTCCCTTAGCTGTAATGGTCAACTTATTAAAGGGTCAGAATATAATCTTTGGTTCAGATACGTGCTCAGATGGATCATGATCATGACTTCCAGCAAAGTGATAAATGTTTCATATGGCTATGCTACCTGAAATATTGTGAAAATGGTGTATGACCCAATCCACACATGGTCAGTAGCCTAATTCCATCCTTCAATTTGTTCCTCTTCAGCAGAATGCTGCAGTAGCTGCCAATGCACAAAACCAGCAGATGCAACAGCAGAACTTTGTACAACAGCAGAATGGTGCACAGCAACAGCAGAACATTGCACAGCAACAGCAGAACTTGGCACAGCAACAGGCAGCACAACAGGCAGCCCAGCAGGCAGCAGGCAGCCCAGCAGGCAGCCCAACAAGCTGCTCAGATCAACCAACCAGGTGGTGTTCAGCCTAATGACCTTGTTTATCAGGCTCAAGGACAAGGGCAATTTCAAGGACAGGGGCAAGGTCAAGGACAAGAGGCTGTCCAGAACATGAACCAGAATGTTAACCAGGACAATCTCAACATGAATGTAAGTACTGTGAAGAGTCTGGCTTTACTTGATGCTTAGGGGCTTGTAAAACAGTCATTGATGCTCTGTTGTCAATCCCTGGCTCTGATTTGGGCAAGTCTTGTGGATTGTGTCCAGCTGTGTCATACCAAAAGATGGTCTTTGTTGTTACTCTGCCTGGGACGAGGCATTAAAGGTATACAACAAGGACGGATTGGCTCAGTCACTAAACTGTGAAGGCAGAAATCTATATTAAAATCTGTCTTCATGTGTCACTGGCTACTTTTAGACTAGCAATCGTCTGAACTTGTACAAGTAGAAACTCACATGATTTTGAACGCACACTCATGTATGCACAGTATGATAAGATCATCTTGAACAGAGTTAAAGCCCATTTCACCTCACCTCATTCAGTCGTCTTCTTAGGTTTGAATCTAATTCCTTCACTGATCATGTTTCTTGGTTTGTCAGGGTTATACAAATTGGCTCTCTTTGAGAATATTTGAAAGATCCCAGTGATCTTGCCGAAAAGGATTAAATAGTCATGATGTAAACCCAAGCTGATTTCTAGTTTTACTGGCCAATCATATTTCAGGCTAATGTACCAAATGCTGGACAGGATCCCAACAACCAAAACCAGATGGCGGGAGCTGACTTGATGCAAGGTAAACAAATTGGTCTGGTGAAGCTCACTCTGCAGAGTTATGTCCCTTAGTAATTCCAGGATCTGTGAATTATATCATTCCCAGATATGCCATAGTAATGATCTTCAGTTTTTCTTCACCATATCTGTACATGTGGGTTTTCACCAAAGTTTTAAAGGTCTGACACCTGCATTATTTCTGTAGTTACTCAGTCATTAAACTGATATTGACTGAAATACTGTTAAACGTGGCAATAAATGCAATTCTTATCATTACGGCATTTCTCATACAGAAATACCTTGGCACACAAACATAATTTAGTTCGATCCAGGTATTCTTTAAATGTAAATGATGAAATTGGCTCAGACACTGTCAAGTATCAAGTGCAGTATCTCCAGATGAAAGGGCTAACTCCATTGGGATTTTCATGGATTATGCTTCTACCTTTGCCACTGTTGTCACATAGGCGGGCAGTGTTCATGGTGCACAGACAGCCTTGAATATGATGCATGTTCAAGAATACTCATGTGTGGAAGCCTGACACAGGTTTTTACCTGTTGGTTCCTTTGGCTTCAGAAATGCTCCAGGTTCATTCTCTTACATGAGAATTTAATCATTTTTAAGCAGACACAGCTGAATTTGTTAAGTTTCACAAAAGTAAAAGTCAGTCAAAGCCACGGAAACGCCTAATGCCTCCTCTTCCAAAGATGGCAAAGTGTGTTCCATCAGTTGGTAGTGATGACTCCAGTTTTCCAGGGATTAAAAACTTCAGGAATATCATCTTGGTTGACTACCTCCTGAAAGAACAGATCATTTAAAGGTCAATATTATTCAAATCTGCTAAGGCAAATGAATGGGTATGTCAAAGCTTGATGTTGTAGCTGAAAGTTGCTAAATGTATATTTTTTATCTTCACAATGTGCATCACCTGTGCTCTCTGATCAGTGCATGACTGGTTAGAAACTCAAGGAAGAGATTTTGTTCCACCTCTTCCCAGACCTGTAGAAAGAACTGTCATTTCTGTTGTGGAGGACATTTTACACCAGGGGGATCCAGACATCTCAGCATCATTGGCAGTGGGACAATAAAGCAATCAGCTCCCATCAACACTCATCGTACTTGCGCTCAGAACTTTTCAGCCACTCCTCATTTTCCATCTGGCATATTTGTTGAAGTTGTATTGCATGTTAACGGGACACCTTCTCTGTTTACCTGATTATTTGCTCAAAAGTATATCTTGTTAATCATCTTGTAGGACAAGGTCAAGGTCAAGGTCAAGAAGTTGTGAACAATGAACAACATCAAATGCATGCCCCGAACATGGATGGTGCTAACCAAGAAGCAGCCAATCAGAATCAGGTATTGTGAAACAAGTGTAATGCATGGACAGTGCTTCCCTCAAGATGGATTTGTTTTTTCTGATTTTGTCATTTCACACTGGTCTTGTCTTTTCTTGCAAAACTGAGCTACAAAGATGGTTGTATAAATATTGTTAAATGACAAAGGCATGTACATTGAGACCCCGGATATCTGGACACATTCATTTTTGCGTAAATCATCTGGATAACTAAATGTCCGGATATCTGGATTTCTGTCATCCAGGGTTTGGTGTTGAAATGGTAGCATACACTTCTGGATTAAAATCACTTCCAAAACAGCATGGACATTTTTATTTGCCAATTACAATTCATGCTGTGTTAGATAGGCCAACTAATCACCACCGATACCCTGCAGGTTGGTCATTAATCAGGATAAGTAGACCTTGTCTTGTGTCAAAACACGTGGGACATTCGCGCTTCACTTCATAGGCTCAGCGGAAGATCAAAGCTTCGTGTGGATAAGTGAGTCAATTTTGTGTTGTGTTAACCGGTTGGTTTGTAAAATTTACAATCCGGGAATGGAAATTGCATATCTGTTATAAACAGTCAATTTTATAATGTAAGAGATTGTATTTTTATGAAAATTGACCGGAAATCAAGTTTCCCAGATTTTTGGGGTCCAGGTATCTGGGGTTTCACCGTACTATATTCACCTTGGATAAAACATTGGGAGCATGCTTAGATACATGTAGTGAGATTCTATCATTTATGCTTAAAACTATTTATTCATTTCTTCTTTCTGTTTTTATTTGATTCTATTTCCTGCATTTTTGCATTCATCAGTTTTATTCAGACACAATACTTCATCAAACAAAAATGTCTTCCACCATATTTGAAGATAGCATACAGACCACTTTGTTTGTGGCCAGCTGTGATATGATTTGTGTGAAGAAACACCCTGCTTGAGTTGACGTTCATCCAAGTTTACATGAACAATGTATTTTCATCAAAATCAATGGGGTAGTTTTCTTTTTAAAAAATACCTCTCTTGTAGTCTTGCTTACTCTAAATTTGTTACTTTAGTGAATTTGAGCTCTTTTCTTTACTTAGGATCCTTTTACTCTAAAGTAATGGATCCCTTATAAGGACCAGAAATGTTTATATTTATTAAGATAAGAAGGATAAAGATGCATTATGACAGACAGAAAATCAAATTTTAAACAATATATTGATCAGCCCAGTTCATCTTTAACATTATCTTGATCAGTTGCAGGTCTACATAGGTAATTTTAATCTACCGGTAAAGGTAGTATTGTGAAATGAGTAGTCGTCAGGCTGGGTTATTAGTTTATTGCCAGACTTCTCAAAGAATATTGTTCACTGCCGTAATTCCTGCCAAAGACACCTTCAGAGTTTAAAAAAGAAATTGGTATGATTGCATGCCATGATGTGAACAGAATTCTGATCCATGGTGATAGTTAATATGTATACATCAGCGTGGTCAGACTGCCCTGCCCTTGCATTGCTCCATACACCTTCCCTGCTGGTCACACGTTACCCTCACGGTTTTATTGCTGCCACCATCATGGATTGGCCTTCACAAGAGTCTTGACAATGTTGTCTCCAGTCACAATATAGTCCTTTGTGTGTATGTCTTTGGGAATGCCATGATAGTGACTAGAGAATGTGTTCAAGTGACTAACTAGGGATGAATTTACATGTTTCGTTTTATGAGATTGGATCTTGATTGCAGACGGGCAGTAAAGCATGCAATTTCCTTCTTGCATTCTCACTGAGCTACTTATGTGACAGTTATAATGAAATAGAAACACAAATGAACAAAAGATTATATAATAATGTAGGGGGGAGAGTTTTCAGCATGCAAGTTGAATTCCTTGCATGGCTGCAGTGCTTTGCGAATGGGTTGTCACTGTGTGGAGCTTGTCACAAATTAAGGGAGATAATCTTGGATGCTTGGGGTTCCAAACTGACCCAAACAGAAGCAAGAAACAAGAGACTGGAATAAACTAATTCCTTAAATAACAGCCTGCATGAAGTGTATGTCTTTGTTGCCATTGTCGCAATTAACCTCATGTTTTATTATATGTTGTCTTTGTAATTTGATATTGTGAGCAAAGATAAATAGCATTGTGTTGGTTTGGGGGCAAAATATGTTTCGTTTTTCCACTTATCCTGGAAGATGGAAGCTTATATTTCAACTGACAGCTGACAGGTGCCTGGCATATTACACACAGTTCATTGTCATTTATCACATTAAAGACAAGATGTTTCTATTTTTACCATTCTTGTTCATATTCATATCTGTTGTGTGGATATCCTTGTCATGACCTTCACCTTGACTGCACATGACCTTGACCTATATATATTCCATGCTTTGCACTTTTGTTCAAGTAATAAGTGCCAAGTTTGTTCTGTATGGTTTAGGTGAACATATTTCTTGAGGTTCTCAAAAGATAATTCTCTGCCATCCATGACCATGTTAAAATCAAACTAAAGGACGTGAGATAGGATAAGTATTTTAAATATACAATTTATCCTCAAAATTTTCAATTATAGGGAAGGTCAGTATATTTACATGTAAAAAAAACCAAACCAGGTTGTAGTATTGTTTGGCCTTATTCAAATCAGAATTAGCTTTTCAGCATCATCCCAACTGGTTTTATGAAAGTGTCATGTCAAACTCATTCCGGAGACCTTCCTGTCAGGTTATGCTCCAATTAGAGAAAATGCCTCTCATCAGGATATGCTATCTTGCACAAGGGGATTCCCGGTAAAATAGAACAAGGTTATTCGACAGATCAGGCGCTCATACCCTGAAGATATCTTCTCTTGGATTAAGCCAAACCCAACAACATTACATGTTGTACAGAACCAAGGATTGTTTCTTTGAGACTGGATTATTTAGAAGCTGCCATCATGTACTTGCAATGTTTGTTAACCAACAAACATATCTCACCTTCAGAGCCCATCTGTATTATTCTGTTTGACCAAGTAATAACTACATAACTGTCCTTGCTTGGGGATCTAGATCTGCTTGCTTCTGTGTGGTTTGAAATTTGGTTTTTCTTGTCTGCATGCATGCACTTGCTTCACTACATGAGCTTCCTCCAGGTCAAACCAGCGGTCGGGTAGTTGTTCCCAGGAGAGTCTTGTTGATGTTGATGTTGTGTTTTGGACAAATATTATATTGTGATGACTTCTTTGTGGTTGAGGGAAATTTTTCTTTTTTAATGTGGATGCTGTTGAAACGGAGGGAACAGTCATGGCAATGTGGAAAAATTAAACAATTTGTACTCTTACAGGACTTGGGAACTGGTAGTTCATTATGGGATATTGGGAGTGGGGAGTCATCTATTATGGGAAGAGGATGGGCATGAAAAAATGGAACTGTAGAACTATAACCAATCCCACCCTACACTCCTACACCCCAATGATGGATTACTTGTTCCTTTTGTATTTTATCAAATAAATAATAGGTATAAAGTAACATTTATTTATTTATTTATTCTTTATGGTTGATTTTTTATTTATGTGTTACTGATATATCTGTAACCTTAGAAACCTGAATAATTACCCCAGTGAGCACCATATTAGACTGTTGGCCTGACTTACATAGATGTCGACCGCCTCCCAAGGGTAGTGGTTCGAGTGTCCGCCCGGAGAGCGGAAGGTCGCGGGTTCGATCCCCGACCGTCTCATACCAAAAGACGTTAAAATATGATACTTGTTGGCCATTGCCTGGCGCGCTCTGCTGCTTTGGTTTGTAATGTCATTGTGTCATCAGTACTCATAATGACAATCACTGCACTGTTGGGTCCTATCTCGCTATTTGCAGACCACAAAAATATAGCTGGAATATTGCTGGAGTGTGGCATAAAAGAACAAACAAACATAAAGGAACAAACAAACTAAATGGTTCTCCAAACTGACAACCGTCTGCAACAGGCATCACTTCTGGCTTTTCAGTAGACATGCTGTAATGTTTGGTATAGTCCTGCAGACATGGTTACATGTAGTTTCAAGGTTTCAAAGAAATTTAAGGAAGAAGGGAACAGTGTAAAAAATATTTCCATATTAGTGACGCACTGAGGCAAGATTTATACTAATTGTGTTTTTATATTTATTAAATATATTATCCAAGCTGTCAAATTTTCAGTTTCGTCAGTCTCAAACTTGCAGTGATAACATACTTGTGCATTTTGGGAGCCTTAGAAAGAAAAACCTGAAATTTAAATTTTCAGTAAAAAATGTTCCACTAAGGTAAAACTGACTCAACATATTAAACATTAAGAAAGACATTAAACTTTGAGGGACAAAATTGGTGAAGTTAGATAGACAATTTTTATTGTATCTATACAAGCGACTTCAGCTAAATGTATCATGATGCACCTAGATTGCGCTTCCTAAGCTTGACTTTACCATACCCATGCCACGTGCTTTTAGTTCCATCCACTGCATCTCTTCCTTTTAATCAGTTGTCACCACTCGACGCTTTCTATAATTTGTAAGACAATCTAAAAATTATCAGTTGTTTTTCCCAGTATCTGACAATGTTAAAAGTTCTCACAAACCAACCCCATACTGCAGTCGTTCAATCAAAGAAGAAGCGTAGTCAGTGAAAGAGAGCAAAGCATTCAAAAAGTTAAAGTGGGTGGTTCATTATGGAAAAATGCCATCTGATTTACTCTTGGATTATTAATTTTGATCTCTCATAATTAGTTCTGGATTCACCAGTTATGGCTTCCTGTTGTGAGATACATAATGTGAGTGAAATAACTGATTTTATAAGATTGTTTGTGAAAAGACTTGTCCCCCATTCAATTGATGTCGTTGTGAATCCTGATGAGCATATAAGTTCAGTGTGTTAAATAGCTAGCATTTCAATCAAAGAATACATACACTTAAAATTTGTAACCATGATTTATATCTAAAACCATACTAGATATTTCAAAAAGTTAAAATTGGTTGTAAAAAGCTAAAATTGGTTGTAAAAAGCAACCTGTCTCAATAACTCATGTAAACTTACTTTAGAGTTCCTTGGGCTTGTCTGGTTTTACAAAGATGGAACCAAGGCAGTCGGATATCTATGATTGGGGTACAGGTCTAAATGAACTTGTGGTAATGAATGGCTCTTAACTCTTTTCTTCCTACCATACTCTTCAAGTCTGTAGCAAGCAATCTCTCTGGCCAGAACAACAAGACAGCAGTGGGTCAGCACAACCCAGCTGAAGGAAGACAAACTGAAAAGCCCCTTGATGATCTCAAGCCAGTAAAAGACAAGGCAGTAGAAGCCAAACACAAAACTACCTTAGCGCCAAAGTCCAAACTGGACTCCCTCTTTGGGGACGATGCTGCCATTAAGTCTCAGAAAAAGGAATCTTTCAGAGATAAACTGCTTGGCCTGAAGGTACTAAATGGTTCGCTTTTAAGAAATACTTATGTGAAATATAATTATTTTAAATTTTGTGGAAGGTATTTGTTTTGTGGATGTTAATATATTTTATGATTCAACTTTGTCACGTGTCTAGTGTCCTTGTTGTGGTCATGCTTCTAGTCAACTCTTGTAATCTTTTATGCACTATATCCTCCTTATAAAGCAAACTGATAACTCTGTTGGAGTGCAGCTATAGGATTTATAGCTTTCTCTTTGTTCGGGAGTTCCTGTGCATTATCATTATACATTGAGAATCTCACCCAAGTGTCTACTGATATCAATTATATCAACACGAGTTGATAAAGTTACAAATATCCGAGGCTTGCCGAGGATATTTTTACCTTTATCAACGAGTGTTGATATAATTGATATCAGTAGACACGAGGGTGAGATTCTATTTATCATCCAAAATCATTCTTCGTTAATTTTCAATGAAAAATGTACATCTCTGAGCATGGTACTGCCATTAGACTTGCAGTGCAGCGATGTCATAGCATTGTGACGTCATCAAGTACATGACGTCATAGCATTGTCAGGGCATTGTACAAAATCTACTGTCAAAACGATATCTCCTAGGAGATATCGTTTGATCTCACACAAGCGATATCTCCTGTGGAACACAGTTTTGGATGATAAATGTATTTATCATTCAGATGTTACTCCAAAGTATGTATTTCATAGTGGTTGAGGCCATTAATTTCAAGTACAAATGCCGGGTCATTTGATTGGCTAATTGGAGAAGGTAGATATCATGCTGAAGGTGTTACACCATAAACCACATCATTGCTGGTGTTTTGAAGCTGCATAACCTGGTTTGTGGGCTGTTGGGTATGCTTGTGGTTAAAGTGTTGGCTCATCACAAAGAAGACCCAGGTTCAATTCCCTACATGGGCACACTATGTGAAGCCTATTTCTGATGTTCCCCACCAGGATATTGCTGGAAGACAGTTACCTAACTGATTGTGAATTCTGGCCACTAAACTCACATTGAAGATGACTTCTTTCAGCGGAATGTTGATGGTGATGTCATTGACAAAGAGGGTCATGCTGACGATGTCAAAGTGGTAGATGTCTTTGATAACCTCAAAGTTGATCCAGGAAAGCCACAGGTAGAGACCTCTGACATTGACCCTCTTCACCTTTCATAAGTAACTTTGACCTTCCCATATGGATATGCTGTGATGACCCCTATTTAATCCAATACACCTCTCTCACACATTAATGCACTTTTCCTCTCATCAATCCAAGTGTGCTTTTAGTATTTAGCATTCATTATAACAAAATGGTGTTAAATATATCCATGGAAAGAACATTGCAGATTGTGAAACTGTCTTTGCCTTTGAGTCCCTTGATTTAGAAAGGTTTATGTCAAGATTTCATTTAGAAATAAATATTCTTTGGAAAAAAATCATCTTAATATCCAAATGTACGACTTCTGTGAGAAATCAATATATTTGACACATACTCGAAAAGGATATTTATGATTGTTCATGTGGCTTTGCATCAATTAACAGGAAGTGAAGGAAAAGGCTTCTGGGAATAACACAGATCCCATTGCACCAGGTCATGATGAACAGGTAGTAATAACACCAATACAATCAGAAGCTGTTGTGGTAATAAGTTTTAGTGCATTTGAAAGACAAAGTTTGATCCTTAATGTAGAAATAACATTCCAGTCATTAAATGTCAACTGTGGATCCTGAATCATCATAGTACATGTACAGTTCTTGAGCATACACTGTGATACAGTGACTGAATGGTGACAAGTATTTTCAGAAACTACTTAAGTTTACTCTAGACTTAGTTAGTCCAGAGAAGGACCTTTTGAGTGTATTTATTTCACATTTAATAATTTCATAATCTGATGGCATGAAGCCACCTTTGTGCTTATAACCCTTATCTGAACTTGTGACTCTGTGTGTGTGTGTGTGTGTGTGTGTGTTATGTTATATTAGTATATAGGGGTAATAACACTGTTATAGTTGTTATTCTTCTCATAAGCCTTGTTTTGGATAAACGTTGAATTTTAACCTCACGTTAGCCGACCGTTTTGAGAATTATTTATATTGTTATGATGAAGAAGATCAAAAGCATGATTCAGATGATATGTTTGCTTACCAAATCTGAATGACAATGTGCCCGTTCTTCTCAGATGGCTAATAAAATATTATCAGATGCATTTATTGTCAAGCATTGAATCTTTGAAAATGGTTTTGATCTCAACTTGGATGTTGGATTGTGTGTGTAATGTCTGAATGTTTTGTGGGTCTTCTTGTAAATAGCAGTGGATTCATGGTGTCTCATTGTCTATTTTGATGTCAAGAAAATGACACCAGTTTTTGTCTTTAACCATGAGAATGCCTTTAAACACAAGAAAAATACATCTATACTTTCAACAGATTTGATTGTATGTGACTTATTGACTGTAGGCGGTTGGCGTTGCAATGAATTCTACCAAGTCGGATGGAAATGAAGGGAACGTGTCCCAGAAAGAGGTATATTGGTGCTGGAAAATAATTTTTACTCTTCTGTTTCCTGTAGCTTTATTGACTGTCTTTGGTACCAGGGTCCTCTTATTTGTTAACCTTGAGAACAGCTAAGCTTACTTTTTAGGCTTACTTTTTGATGAGAAGGATTCTTATTGGTGAGAATGATGAAAATTCCAAGCATGATCAGGATGTGCCAGCCTACCAAAGTCTCATTAACAATAGCATTGTGTCCTTTTAAACTGTCCGGTGAAAGATAGCTTTGTAGCTTTGTGGGTGTTATTATACAAGTATAATTGTAACCTTCTCTATAGTTCTGAATACATTCCTTCATTGATTCCACCCGACAAGTAATGTCACTGTCCCTGGTTAGCTGCGGTAGTTTTACCATGCCACCCTCAGAACTGTGAATTTGTTTTACAAAGTGGCCAATATTTCCTGAGTATGATTGTTATTGTTATGATGATGAGATTTTTGAGCATGATTAAAATGAAATGTCAGCTTACCAAAAGTCTGAATAACAATGTCATTATGTTGTTTTAAACAGTCCAGTGTAAGATAAATATATCCTTTTTTTAGTGTTGAGCATATCTTCAGCTGTATTCAAATGTTCCTGTATGGTGGGAAACTCTTTGATGTTGATGATATGTATGCTTACCAAATTTGAATAATAATGCTCCTAAGCTTCCTGAAAATAAATGGAACATGTCCCAGAAAGAAGTATATCAGTTCTGGAAACCATATTTTTACTCTTCAGCTCCTTGTGTCTTTCCTGGGTGTTTTCTACCCTTGTACATAGTTCTGAAGCAATTATTTAATTCCTTCCACCCACCTTCACGGACCCCATGTCAGTTTCCTCATTTTTACCTGTCTGATTAACTATGTCATTGTGTCCTTTTATACTGTCCTGTGTAAGATACGCACATCTTTTCTATTTTGTTAACCGCCATATAGCTGAAATATTGCTGTGTGCGGTGTTAAACAACAAACTTACCTCAAATCATTTGACTGTCCTCAGTCCCTGGTCCTCTTATTTGTTTACATGGGTATCACCCTCAGAACAATGCAACTATGAAGAATGCCAGTCTTTTGTTGGGAAGGATTGTTATTGTTATGATGACGAAAATTCCAAGCATGATTAAGATGATATGTATGCTTACCAAATCTGAATGACAATATACCAATTCTTCTCATGTGGCAACAGAAGATGAGATCGATTCATTGTGTCAGCCACCTTATCTTTGCCAAAGCTTTCTATCTCAAGTTGCTCAAAATTTTGAGTGCAGATCAAGTGTGCATGTGGGTCATTTAAAGTCCTAGAAACGGGTATATCAGATCTGGAAATCATGTTTTACTCCTCTGTTGTCTATGAATGCTTTTTAAAACAAAAGGCCACACTATATGGCTGAAATAATGCTGATACGATGTCACTCGCTTATGTAAGAATAGGCCTTGCCTCCAATAGTTCTGAATACATTCTTCCATTGATGCCACATGATAAGTAATGTCACTGTCCGTGGTTTGCTGCGGTAGTTTTACCATGCCACCCTCAGAACTGTGAATTTGTTTTACAACTTGGCCAATTTTTCCTGAGTCTGATTGTTATTGTTATGATGATGAGACTTTTCAGCATGATTAAAATGAAATGTAAGCTTACCAAAAGTCTGAATAACAATGTCATTATGTTGTGTTAGATCCGTCCAGTATAAGATAAACATATCCTGTTTATAGTGTTGAGCATATGACAGAACATCTTCAGCTGTATTCAAATGTTCCTGTATAGTGGGAAACTCTTTGATGTTGATGATATGTAAGCTTACCAAATTTGAATGATAATGCTCCTGAGATTCCTGAAAATAAATGGAATGTGTCCCAGAAAGAGGTATATCGGTACTGGAAACCATTTTGTTACTCTTCAGCTCACTGTGTCTTGCCTGGGTGTTTTCTACCCCTGATGCCATTATCAATTCCTTCCACTCACCTTCACTGTCCCCATGTCAGTTTCCTCAGTGTTATTGTTATGATGATGAAAATTCCAAGCATGATTGAGATGATATGTTTGCTTACCAAATCTGAATGACAATATGCTTATTCTTCTTGACGTCAACAAAATGGCGCAAGCTTGTATCATGAGAATACCTGTAATCACAAGAAGAATACATCTAAACATTCACCATATGTTTGATTCTGTTTTGAATATATGGTTTTGTTGACTGTAGGCAGTTGGCGTGGCAATGAATGCTCCTAAATCTCCTGAGAATGAAGGGAACGCATCCCAGAAAGAGGTATATTGGTGCTGGAAAACAATTTTTACTCTTTTGTTCCCTATAGCTTTATTGGATGTTTCATACAGGTGTAATTATAGCCTCCTCAGTAGTTCTGAATACATTCCTTCATTGAGTTCACTCGACATGTTATGTCCCTGTCCCTGGGTCAGCTGCCATAGTTTTACCTTGCCACCCTCAGAACTATGAATTCGTTTTACAACATAGCGAATCTATCCTGCAAAATGCTGATTGTTATGATGATGAGATTTTTGAGCATGATTAAAATGAAATGTCAGCTTACCAAAAGTCTGAATAACAATCTCTTTATATTCAATGTTAAGCCCAGTGATGGAGCTCATGTCTGAAGATCTTGAATGTTATGACAAAAAGTGTTTCGCTGTTTTAAATAATCTTTATGAAAACCTTTCTTTTGTTGCAACTTATTTGAACTTGTGCCAATCTTTTGCGAGACTGATTGTGATTGTTATGATGATGAGACTTTTCAGCATGATTAAAATGATATGTAAGCTTACCAAAAGTCTGAATAACAATATTACTATGTTCTGTTTTGAATAATCTTTTATGAAAACCTTTCTTTCCTTTGTTGCAACTTATTTGAACTTGTGCACAATCTTTGAAGAACACCAGTCTTTTGCTTTGCGAGACTGATTGTGATTGTTATGATGATGAGACTTTTCAGCATGATTAAAATGATATGTAAGCTTACCAAAAGTCTGAATAACAATATTACTATGTTCTTTTAAACAGTCCAGTGTAAGATAAACATATTCTTTAGGTAGTGTTGAGCATATGACAAAACATTGTCAGCTGTATTCAAATATTCCTTTGTGACATAAGAACTGTTCCTTGCAACCTAATCACAAGTGATTTGACTGTTCCTGAGTCCTCTTCCTGTTCACAAGACAGCATCCTGAGAACAGCAAAGTTTACTTTGAAGAACACCAGTCTTTTGTTGAAAAGGATTGTTATTGTTATGATGATGAAAATTCCAAGCATGATAAAGATGATATGTTTGCTTACCAAATCTGAATGACAACATGCTTATTCTTCTCAGATGGTCAGTTTATGATAGTGAGATCCATATATTTTGTTTGCCACTAAATTAAGTTAATAGTGCATTTTGTTCTAAAGTTTTTTATAAATTTTTGTGGATGTCATTACATAAAAGTACAGGATTCATTGTATGAAGTTGGGGTCGCATCTGTTGATGTCAACAAAATGGCGCAAGCTTGTATCATGAAAATACCTGTAATCACAAGACGAAAACATCTAAACATTCCATATATGTTTGATTCTGTTTTGAATATATGGTTTTGTTGACTGTAGGCAGTTGGCGTGGCAATGAATGCTCCTAAATCTCCTGAGAATGAAGGGAACGCATCCCAGAAAGAGGTATATTGGTGCTGGAAAACAATTTTTACTCTTTTGTTCCCTATAGCTTTATTGGATGTTTCATACAGGTGTAATTATAGCCTCCTCAGTAGTTCTGAATACATTCCTTCATTGATTTCACTCAACATGTTATGTCACTGTCCCTGGGTCAGCTGCCATAGTTTTACCTTGCCACCCTCAGAACTATGAATTCGTTTTACAACATAGCGAATCTATCCTGCAAAATGCTGAATGTTATGATGATGAGATTTTTGAGCATGATTAAAATGAAATGTCAGCTTACCAAAAGTCTGAATAACAATGTCATTGTGTCCTTTTAAACAGTCCTGTGTAAGTTATCTAAATACATCTGTTTTCATAGTGTTAAGCAAATGACAGAATATCTTAAGCTGTATTGAAATCTCCATGTATGGTGAGAAACCCTGTTTCTTAGGGGAGAAAATTTACTACAAATCATTTGACTGTCCTTGGTCCCTGGGTCCTCTTATTTGTTTACATGGCATCACCCTCAGAACAATGCAACTATATAGAATGCCAGTCTGTTGTTGGGAAGAATTCTTTTTGTTATGATGACGAAAATTCCAAGCATGAATAAGATGATATGTTTGCTTACCAAATCTTCCTGAATGGTGGGAAACCCTGTTTTGGGGGGAAAACTTGCCACAAATCATTTGACTGTCCTTCATCCCAGGGTTCTTTTGTTTGTTTACATGACAACCTCAGAACAATGAAACTTTCTATAAAGAATTCTTTTTGTTATGATGACGAAAATTCCAAGCATGAATAAGATGATATGTATGCTTACCAAATCTGAATGACAATAAGCCTATTCTTCTGTGGCCAATAGAAGATGAAGAAATGCGTTTATTCTGTCATCCTCTAAATCTTTGCCAATGACTTTTGATCGCTACTTGGACAAGAGTTTTCGCATAGAATAAGAGTTGTTTGTCTTTTAAAGGGAACAGGTCCCCAAACAGGTGTATCAGGGCTGGGAATCATGATTTATTCCTTTTTTTGTTCCTTATCATTTTCTTGATTGGCTTTTATTAGAATGGTCCTTGCCTCCAATAGTTCTCAAACCATTCCTTAATTGAGATAAAGAAATGAATTCATTTTGTCATCCTCTGAATCTTTGCCTATGACTTTTGACCTTTACTTGGACATCATTTTGTGCATTGAGTGAGTGTTGTTTGTATTATAAAGGGAACCGGTTCCAGAGACAGGAAAATCAGTGCTGGGAATTGTGTTAATTGCTCTGTTGTCTGTGAATACTTTTGATAGAAGAGACCACTATAGGGCTGAAATAATGCTGATATAATGTGAAATATTAATTCACTCACTTATATAAGAACAGTCGTTGCCTCTAATAATTCTGAAGTCATTCTTTAATTGTTTCCACTCCAGAAGTGTTTCCACAGACCTTTGAGTCATCTGCTTCAGTTTTACCATACCACCCTTAGAACTGTGAATCTTACTTGCAAGTTTGCAGTCTTTTGTGAGACTGATTGTTATTGTTATGATGATGAGATTTTTGAGCATGATTAACATGATATGTCAAGCTTACCAAAAGTCTGAATAACAATGTCATAATTTTCATTAAACGGTCATGTGTAAGATAAACATGTCCTTTTTATAGTGTTGAGTATATGACGGTGCACCTTAAGCTGTATTCAAATATTCCTGTATGGTAGGAAAACCCCTTTGGTATGGATGATATGTATACTGACCAAATCTGAATGACAATGCTCTTAGTCTTAAGCTTCTTGAGAATAAATGGAACATGTCCCAGAAAGAAGTATATCAGTTCTGGAAACCATATTTTTACTCTTCAGCTCCTTGTGTCTTTCCTGGGTGTTTTCTACCCTTGTACATAGTTCTGAAGCCATTATTTAATTCCTTCCACTCCCCTTCACGGACCCCATGTCAGTTTCCTCAGTTTTACCTTGCCATCCTCAGAACTGGAATCCTGTTTTTCAACTTTTTAATGTTTTGTGAGACTGATTGTTATGATGATGAGATTTGTGAGCATGATTAAGATGATATGTTAAGCTTACCAAAAGTCTGAATAACAATATCTTTATATTCAATCATAAGCCCAGTGATGGTCTGAAGATCTTGAATGTTATGACAAAAAGTGTTTCGCTGTTTGAATAATTGTTATGAAAACCTTTCTTTTGTTGCAACTTATTTGAACTTGTGCCAGTCTTTTGCGAGACTGATTGTTATGATGATGAGACTTTTCAGCATGATTAAAATGATATGTAAGCTTACCAAAAGTCTGAATAACAAAATTACTATGTTCTTTTAACAGTCCAGTGTAAGATAAACCTATTCTTTTTGTAGTGTTGAGCATATGACAAAACATTGTCAGCTGTATTCAAATATTCCTTTGTGACATAAGATCCAACCTTGCAACCTAATCACAAGTGATTTGACTAACCCTGGGTCCTCTTCCTGTTCACAAGACAGCACCCTGAGAACAACAAAGTTTACTTTGAAGAACACCAGTCTTTAGTTGAGAAGGATTGTTATTGCATGGTTGAGATGATATGTTTGCTTACCAAATCTGAATGACAACATGCTTATTCTTCTCAGATGGTCAATTTATGATAATGAGATCCATATATTTTGTTCGCCACTAAATTATGTTGATAGTGCAGTTTGATCTATTTGCATGAAGAATACTTTTGTGGATGTCATTACATTAATGTACAGGATTCATTGTATGAAGTTGGTCCTCTTGCATCTGTTGATGTCAACAAAATGGCGCAAGCTTTTATCATGAGAATACCTGTAATCACAAGAAGAATACATCTTAACATGTATTTGATTCTGTTGACTGTAGGCAGTTGGTATGGCAATGAATGCTTCCAAGTCTGGTGGGAATGAAGGGAACGTTTCCCAGAAAGAGGTATATTGGTGCTGGAAAACGAGTTTTGCTCTTGTGTTCCCTGTAGCTTTATTGACTGTCTTTGGTACGAGGGTCGTCTTATTTGTTAACCTTGAGAAGCATCTAAGCTTACTTTCAAGGCTTGATGAGAAGGATTCTTATTGGTGAGAATGATGAAAATTCCAAGCATGATTAAGATGTGCCAACTTACCAAAAAGTCTGATTAACAATATCATTGTGTCCTTTTAAACTGTTCCGTGAAAGATATGCACATCTTTTCTATAGTGTTGAGCTTATGACAGAACATATTAAGTTGTATTGAAATACCTGTATGATGGGAAACCCAACTTGTTTTTGCAAACTTACCACAAATCATTTGACTGTCCTTGGTTCTTTGGTCCTCTTATTTGCTTACATGACATCACCCTTTATGTTATGAAAACCCTTATTTTATTGCAACCTAATCACAAATTATTTGACCTGTCCATGGGACCTAGCACCTCTTGCTTGTTGTCAAAACATTGCTCTCCGTGCAATGAAACTATGAAGAATGCCAGTCTTTTGTTGAGAAGGATTGTTATTGTTATGATGACGAAAATTCCAAGCATGATAAAAATGATATGTATGCTTACCAAATCTGAATGACAATGTGCCTATTCTTCTCATGTAGCCAACAGAACATAATGAGATCCATTTACAGTGTCAACAACTGTATTTTCGCCAAAACTTTTCAATCTCAGGTCATACAAAATTTAAGAATTATGTAAGAATAGGCCTTGCCTGAAATTGTTCTGAAGTCATTCTTATTTGCTTCCACTTCACAAGTAGTGCCACTGACCCTTTGGCCAGCTGCCTCAGTTTTACCTTGCCATCCTTAGAACTGTGAATCTTACTTACTTAAACCAATCTCTTTTTGGACTGATTGTTATTGTTATGATGATGAGATTTTTTTGACATGATTTAAATGATATGTCGGCTTACCAAAAGTCTGAATAACAATGTTACTATGGTTTTTTCAACAGTCCACTGAAAGATAAACCTGTCCAAGTGTTGAGAATATAACAGAAGGTCTTAGCTGTATTCAAATATCCCTTTATGATATAAAACCTTTCTTTTATTGCAACCTCGAAGTTTATTTGACTGTTCCTGGGTCTTCTTCCTTGCTTACATGACATCACCCTCAGAACAGCAAATCTTACTCTTATGAGTGCCAGTCTTTTCTTAAGAAGAAATCTTATTGTTATGATGATGAAAATTCCAAGCATGATTAAGATGATATGTTTGCTTACCAAATCTGAATGACAATATGCTTTTTCTTCTCATGAGGCAAATAGGAGATAAGTAATCAGATTATTGTGTTTTCTACTGAATTAATGCCGTTTGATGTGAACTTGGACAAGACTTTGTGCATAGAATAAGTGTTGCTGGTCTTGTGAAGGGTACACATCCCATTAACAGGTATATCAGTGCTGGGAACCATGACTTATTCCTTAGTTCTTAATAATTTTTCTTGATTGGCTTTTATGAGAATAGGCCTTGCCTCCAATAGTTTTGTAGCCATTCTTTAATTGCTTCTACTTCACCAGTATTATTGACCTTTGTATTTCTATGCACACTTTTCCTCAGCTTCAGGTCAGCTGTCTCATTATATTTTATTTTTTTCTACTTTTTTGGTTTTACCATGGCACCCTGGGAACTGTGAATCTTACTTGGAACTTTTGCCAATCTTTTTTAGGACTTCATCCAAAGTGGTCTTTTTAATTTCTTGGACACATATTATGAGAACCATTGAAAATCCATTCCATAATTGAATGCACTTCACAAGTAGTTCCACTGACGTTTGGTGAACTTCCTCAGTTAAGAACTATGAATCTCCCATTCAACTTTGCCAGCCTTGTGTGAGACTGATTGTGACTGTTATGATGATGAGATTTTTGAGCATGATGAAAATGATATGTCAAGCTTACCAAAAGTCTGAATAGCAATAAATGTATATTCTATCATAAGCCCAGTGGTGGACTTACACATCCTTTTGAGCTCATGTCTGAAGATCTTGAATGTCATGTCAAAAAGTGTTTTTGATAATCCTTTATGATATGAAAACCTAATCTCAGGGCCCTCTTTCTTGATTACTTATCATCACCCTCCAAGCAATGAAGCTTAACATAAAGACATCACCCTCCAAGCAACAAAGCTTACTTTTGTTAATGCCAGTCTTTTATTGAGAAGAATTCTTATTGTTAAAATGATGAAAATTCCAAGCATGATTAAGATGATATATTTGCTTACCAAATCTGAATGACAATATGTCTATTCTTCTCATGTGGACAATAGAAGATAGAGAAATCTATTTATTGTGTCACCCACTTTATTTTTGCCAAGGACTTTTGATCTCTACTTGCACCAGATTTTGTGCATAAAATAAGTATTGTTGGTCTTTTAAAGGGAACAGGTCCCATAAACAGGTGTATCAGTGCTGGGAATCATGATTTATTCCTTAGTTCCTAATTATTTTCTTGGATATCATTTTGTTATTGTTATTATTATTGGATATTCATTTAGGAGGATAGGTCTTGCGTTACTAGTTCAGTAGCCATTCTGCAGTTACTTCCACTTCACAAGTTGTTTCACTGGCCCTCGGGTCACCTTCATCAGTTTTACCTTGCCACCCTCACAACAGTAATAAAAAATCAACTTTTTAATCTCTTGTGAGACTGATTGTTATGATGATGAGATTTATGAGCATGATGAAAATGATATGTCAAGCTTACCAAAAGTCTGAGTAACAATATATATGCATTTATATTCTATAATAAGCCCAGTGATGAAGTTACAAATCCTTTTGAGCTCATGTCTGAAGATCTTGAATGTCAAGTTAAAAAGTGTTTTCTTGTTTTGAATAATCCTTTATGATATGGAAACCTAATCTCAAAATATTTAACTGTAATTGGGCCCTGTGCCATCTTGCTTGATTATAAGTCATCACCCTCTGTGCAACAAATCTTACTATGAAGAATGCCAGTCTTTTATTGAGAAGAATTCTTATTGTTAAAATGATGAAAATTCCAAGCATGATAAAGATGATATGTATGCTTACCAAATCTGAATGACAATATGCCTATTCTTCTCATGAGACCAAGAAAAGAGAGAGAAATCAATTTATTGTGTCATCTACTGAATCTTGGCCGAGGACTTTTAATCTCTACATGGACAAGATTTTGTGTATAGAATATGTATTGTTTGTCTCATGAAGGGAACAGGTCCCAGAAACAAGTATATCAGTGCTGGGAACCATGATATATCCCTTAGTTCCTAATTATTTTCTTGGATATCATTTAGGAGAATAGGTCTTGCGGGCAATAGTTCTGTAGTTATTCTTCAGTTGCATCCACTTCACAAGGTGCTATGGGATACTTAGTGGCTAAAGTGTTCGCTCATCACGCCAAAGACCCGGGTTCGATTCCCCACATGGGCACAATATGTGAAGCCAATTTCTGGTGTCCCCAACCGTGATATTGCTTGAATATTGGTAAAAGTGTCGTAAAACCATACTCACTCACTCACTCCACTACACAAGTTTCATTAGTTTTACCTTGCCACCCTCTGAATTGGAATCCTGTTTTTCAACTTTTCAATCTTTTGTGAGACTGATTGTTATGATGATGAGATTTTTGAGCATGATTAAAATGATATGTCAAGCTTACCAAAAGTCTGAATAACAATATCTTTATATTCAATGTTAAGCCCAGTGATGAAGCTCATGTCTGAAGATCTTGAATGTTATGACAAAAAGTGTTTCGCTATTCGAATAATCTTTATGAAAACCTTTCTTTTGTTGCAATCTAATTACAAGTCATTTGTTCCTAGTCACTGGTCCCTTGGTTCATCTCCTTCAGAACAATGAAGTTTACATTGAAGTAGCCAGTCTTTTGTTGAGAGGAATTGTTATTGTAATGGTGATGAAAATTACAGTCATGATCAGAATGGTATATGTGTTTACCAAATCTGATTAACGTTATGCCTATTCTCCTCAGGGGGGAAAGAAAAGGATGAGATCAATTGATTTTGTCAGCCATTGAATCTTTACCAATGTCTGTTCATTTCTTCTTGACATCGTAAGAGGCGACTAACGGGATCAGGTGGTCAGATTTGCTGGTTTGGTTGACAGATGTCATCGGTACCCAATTACGCAGATGTCGATGCTTATGCTGTTGATCACTGGATTGTCTGGTCCAGACTCGATTATTTACAGACCGGCGCCATATAGCTGGAATATTGCTGAGTGCGGCGTAAAATTAAACTCACTCTTCTTGACAAGATTTTTGTGTAGAATAAGTGTGATAGTACAGGATTCATTGTATCAAGTGGGTCTAATTGTCTCTGTTGGTGTCAACATATTGATACCAACCTTGGTCATGAGGATGCCTATAGTAATAATAGGGGCGGTGGGGTAGCCTAGTGGTTAAAGCGTTGGCTCGTCACGCCGAAGACCCGGGTTCGATTCCCCACATGGGCACAATGTGTGAAGCCCATTTCTGATGTCCCTCGCCGTGGTATTGCTGGAATATTGCTAAAAGCGGCGTAAAACTATAGTAATAATAATTTTCAAGAATACAAGGATACAAGCCTAATACATCCAAACATTCAACAGATTTTATTGTATATGATTTTGTTGACTGTAGGCAGGTGGTGTGGCAGTGAATGATACCAAACCTGATGGACATGAAGGGAACGTGTCCCAGAACCAGGTATATCGGTGCTGGAAAACAATTTTTACTTTTCTGTTCCCTGTAGCTTTATTGGTTGTTTTATACAAGTCTCATCAAAAGTTCTGAATACATTCCTTCGTTGATTCCACCCAACAATCAATGTCACTGTCCATGATTAGCTGCTGTAGTTTTGCCTTGCCACCCTCAAAACTGTGAATCTTGATTTTTACTTTGGCGGTCTAGTTTACTTTTTGTCATTAGTCTGATTGTTTTGTTATGATGATGAGACTTTTCAGCATGATTAAGATGATATCTCAGCTTACCAAAAGTCTGAATAACAATATCTTTGTTTTTTTCATAAACCAGTGTAGGATCAACCAATCCTTCTGATCACAAGTTACTTCACTGTCCCTGGTCACTGGGTCCTCTTCCTTGCTTACATAACATTACCCTCAAAACAACAAATTTTACTTTTCCAAATGATGTTCTGTTATTGAGAAGGATTTGTATTGTTGTGATGATGAAAAAACCCAAGCATGAATAAGATGATATATATGCTTACCAAATCTGAATGACAATATGCTTATTCTTCTCAAAGGGCCAAGGAAGATTAACAAATACATACTGATTTTTCACCAGTTCATATGGATCTAGACTTGGACAAGATTTTGTGTGTAAAATAAGTCTGAATATACAGGAAAAGAAGGATCATCTTGGTCTCCTTGTCTATTTTGATAGCAATAAAATGACATCAGCCTTTGTCTTGAGGATAACTATACTAATAAGAACAAGCCGTATAAACATTCAACAGTTTAATATATGATATTGTTGACTATAGGCAGTTGGCCTGGCAGTGAATCCTCCTAAGTCTCCCGAGAGTGAAGAAAGCGAGTCCCAGAAACAGGTACATCGGTGCTGGAGACCATTTTTAATCCTCTTTCCAAAGTGACCTTGATCCTCATATTTTCTTGGATATCTTTTATGAGATTAGGCCTGGCTTCCTCAATAGTTCTGGGTCCTGATCCACAAAGCGTCGGTAGCCCTACGACATTCGTAAGCCTATGATAAACTACGGAGTTATGACTGGTCGTTATGTTAAGAAGGCTCTGTGGATCAGGACACTGAATCCATTCTGTAACTGCATCCAGTTCACAAGTAGTTTCATTGACCATTGATAAGCGTCCTGAGTTCTTTCTTTGTGACCTTCGCAATGTGAATCTTTCATTCAACTTTGCCAGACTTTTTTGAGATTGTTATTGTTATGATGATGAGATTTTTGAGCATGATTAAAATGAAATGTCAGCTTACCAAAAGTCTGAATAACAATGTCATTATATTCTTTTCATGAGCCCAGAGTAAAAAAGTAGACATTTATATAATATTCAGCACAATTAACTGACCCTTCTAGAATCTTTTAAAGTCATAATGTCTTGAATGTCAAGTCAAAATAGTTGATGTGGATCCCATTGTGTCAGTTGATAACAACAAATTGACACCTGCCCTTATGATTGTAAGTGTAATGGCAAGAATAATACACCTGAAGATGTAACAGTGAAATACAGGTACATGACTTTGTTGACTGTAGGCAGTTGGCGTGGCAATGAATGCTCCTAAGTCTGCTGAGAATGAAGGAAATGTGTCCCAGAAAGAGGTATATTGGTGAAGGAAACCATTTTGTACTCTTTTGTTCCCTTTATCTTTCTCTGATGTTAGCCTGGACATTAGATCTGAAGCCATTCTTTAAGTGCTTCCACTCCAACTCATGGATCATTAAAATTCCAAGCATGATTAGGATGATATGTATTCTTACCAAATCTGAAGAAAGTGGAACTGTCAATGTTTTTATGAACTCTGCCTTTTTTGAGAATGATGATTTGTTATGATGATGAGATTTTTGAGCATGATTAAAATGATATGTCAGCTTACCAAAAGTCTGAGTAACAATGTCATTGTGTTCTTTTGGTGTCTAAATGTTCCTGCCCAGTGTAAAATAAGTCAGTCAGTCTCTTTCTGTGTGTAAAATCATGTCAGAAGATCTCCAATTGGTTCTAAAAATGGTCATGTTGGATCTGAAACCATTTCTTTTATTTGAAAATTGATCACAAGGTATTTCAATGTTCCTGGTTCCTGATCTCAGAATTCTCTTCCTTGTTTACATGACCATCCAACGAACAATGAAAATTACTTTTAAGAATGCTTTTTGTTGAGAAGGATTGTTATTGTTATGATGACGAAAATCCCAAGCATGATTAAGATGATATGTTTGCTTACCAAATCTGAATGACAATATGCTTTTCCTCTGATGTGGTCAAATTAAGATAATGAGATCCAGTTATTTTAACAGCCACTAAATCATTTTGATAATGCATTTTGATCACAACTGGGACAAGAATTTGCATGTAGAATAATGCTGAATATATCTCATTACACGATTCATTGTGTCAAGTTGGTCTCCCTGCCTTTGTTGATGTCAAAAAAGTGATGCACCCTTCATCGTGAGAATTTCTTGAATCACAACAATAATACATCTAAACATTCAACAGATTTTTTATAAATAATTATGTTGACTGTAGGCAGTTGGCTTGGCACTGAATGCTCCTAAATCTCCTGATAATGAAGGAAACAAATCCCAGAAAGAGGTATATCGGTGCTGGAAACCATAATTGTTACTCTTCAGCTCCCTGTCTCGTTCCTGTTTCACAGAAGTATAGTTCTGCCCTAGTAAATAATTATAAGGCCATTACTCAATTCCTCCTTAATTCACTCCAGAAGTGTAGTTTCCTTTTTCCCATGTCAGCTGCCTCAGTTTTACTTGCCACCATCAGACATTTGAAACTTACTTTCAACTTTTCCAATCTTTTGCAAGGCCAATTGTTATTGTTATGATGATGAGATTTTTGAGCATGATAAAAATGATATCTCAAGCTTACCAAAAGTCTGAATAACAATGTCATTATATCCTTTTCATGAGGCAGGTGTAAAAAAGAATTACAATATCCAAATGGTATATGATTTTGTTGACTATAGGCAGTTGGCCTGGAAGTGAATCCTCCGGAGAATGATGAAAGCAAGTCTCAGAAACAGGTATATCAGTGCTGGAGACCATGTAGTACTTCTACCAAAGTGACCCACCTAATCTCTTTGGATACATTTTATGAGAATTGTTGTGAATCCATTCTATCATTGCATGCTCTTCACAAGTAGTTTCACTGACGTTAGGTGAGCTTCCTCAGTTTTTGCTTTGCTGCCATAAGAACTGTGAATCTCCCATTCAACTTTGCCAGCCTTGTGTGAGACTGATTGTGATTGTTATGATGGCATGAGATTTTTGAGCATGAATGAAATGATATGTCAAGCTTACCAAAAGTCTGAATAACAATGTCATTATATCCTTTTCATGAGCCAGGTGTAAAGAAGTAGACCTTTTTATGGTATTGAGTACAATAAACAGACCCTTTTTTAATTTTACACACAAGTGATAATGTCTTGGATGTCAAGTCAAAATAGTTGATGAAGGTCCCTGTGTGTCAGTTGATGTCAACAAATTGACACCTGCCCTTATTCTGAGAGTAAGTGTAGTGACAATAATACTTCATTATAGATGTAACAGAAATACAGGTGTATGATTTTGTTGACTGTAGGCAGTTGGCGTGGCAATGAATGCTCCTAAGTCTCCTGAGAATGAAGGAAACGTGATCCCAGAAAGAAGTATGTTGGTGATGGAAACTATTTTATACTCTTCTGTTCCCTTTGTCTTTCTCGGATGCTAGTCTTGACAATAGTTCTGAAGTCATAGTTTAAGTTCTTCCACTCCAACTCATGGATCATGAAAATTCCAAGCATGATTAGGATGATATGCGTGCTTACCAAATCTGAATGACGAAGCGGGAGGGGACCTGTGCATCTTTTTGTCAACTCTGCCAGCCTTTTCGGAGAATGGTGATTTGTTATGATGATGAGAATTTTGAGCATGATTAAAATGAAATGTCAGCTTACCAAAAGTCTGAATAACAATATCTTTATATTCTTTATTTGGCCCAGTGTAGGATCAACCGATCTTTTTGATAATGTTGAGCACTTGTCAGAATATCATGAATATCATGTCAGAACATCTTGAACTGTTTTCAAATATTCCTATCTGATTTGAAAACCTTTCCTTTGCTGCAACCTTATCACAACTAATTTTTCACTGTCCATGGACCTTGGTTCCTCTTCCTTGTTAAACTGACATTTCCTTCAGAACAAGAAATCAAACTGTCCCTGGGTCTTCTTCCTTGCTTACATAACATCACCCTCAGAACAACAGATCTTACTTTTATGAATGCCAGTCTTTTGTTGAGAAGGATTCTTATTGTTATGATGACGAAAATTCCAAGCATGATAAAGATGATATGTATGCTTACCAAATCTGAATGACAATATGCCAATTCTTCTCAGATGGCCAAGGGGATACTTATATGTGCAGATATTTTGTCAACCACTGAATATTTGCCTGATCAATTTTGATCTGTACTTGGACAATATGTTGTGTGTAGAATAAGTCTGAATGTTTTATTATCCATTTTAATGTCCTTAAAATGACACCAACCTTTATCTTGAGGATCCTATAATAACAAAAATACAACATCCAAACGTTCAAGAGTTGAATACCGGTATATGTTTTTGTTGACGAAGCGGATATATGTTGACGAAGCGGAAGGGGACCTGTGCATCGTTTTGTCAACTCTGCCAGCCTTTTTTGAGAATGATTTGTTATGATGATGGGATTTTTAGCATGATTAAAATGAAATGTCAGCTTACCAAAAGTCTGAATATCAGTATCATTGTGTTCTTTACATGAACAATGGGTAGACTAAACAGACCCTACTTTATGTTGAGCACAAGTTGGAATATGTTGAATGTGATGTCAAAATAGCTTTAGCTGTATTCATTTGTATTTTGAGAATGAAGGGTATATGTTTCAGAAAGGTATATCTGTGATGGAAACCATTTTGTTCCCTGTCAATTTCTCAGAGGGTCGGTGGGGTGTCACAATGAATTGTTTCCACTGCAGAAGTAGTTTCAGTGTTCCTGGTTCAGGGTCCTCAATTTTTCCTTGCCACCACCAGAGCTGTCAATGTTATTTTGTTTTCACTAGGGTGAACTACTTTCTTGTAAAAAGATTGGCACTGTTGGCAAGGAAGCCTCCACCGCCCCTGATGGTGATGAAAATGGTGATGATCATTATCATCATGATGGACATGATGGTGATCCTTAAATTGTATTGAAGTTGGAAATGGTGCTAATGATGATGAGTTTGTAAATGCTGATGATCTGTTATATGTTTTGTTGGGTTTTTTTATGATGATGAATGTGGGACTGAACACTTCATTAACTGTTTGTAATCATCCTGTTGTTAGGCTGTTGAGGAGAAGCCCAAGATAGACACCCATCAGGAAGCCATACAACAACCAGCTCAGGGACAAGATCAGGTATATGCTCAGACTGGATACACTTATTCTCAAAGCATGAACTGCTGGTCCACTTGACCATGGCCCCATAAAAGCTGGGTTGTCCCTTACCTGCCAGGATCCGTTGATCACTGACTGACTACTTTAGCTGCATGGATGGACGATGAGATTTATGGAATATGAGCAAGGATGTGGTTTCTGATATTCTTAATTTGTTGGTCTATATTTATGCGTAGGGCCTAGTCCACAGACCAAAGATGTTGATAAATAAGACAATGCTCTTGAATGACAATGCCCTTGAATAACAATGCCCATGGCTCTTAGATCATTTTGCAGCATGGATGCCAACCTAGTTATTCCACAATCATTCCAGGTGCTGTGGCAATTGTAAATGTTGTGGTGTTGCAGTTGCGATAATTATATTGCAAAAATCACTGTGGAATAAGGTCATGACCTTGAGGTAAATTTGAACAGTGAATGAAGAATGTGGGTCTGTTGTGACATATGGCTGTCAATATTTAATATAGGTAGCTGATGTCGTGATGCAAGCCAAGGCTCCCCAGGCTCCTCAGGCTCCTCAGAATGAAGGCGAGGCCCAGAAACAGGTATATATCGGTGCTGGGATTTTGTGGTGCAATTTATGTTCATGGTCCATGTTTGCTCTCACCTCGCTTGATCCTTGCAAGTTTAATTTGTCTCAAGTTGTTTGCACTTTTCATGATTGGACCCTTCTGTTGTAGAGACACATGTTATGATTTCTCCGTTACCAATATCAGAGTTTGGGTCATGGTTGCCCTGTACAAAGAGTTGTGACCCTTAGCTCTGCTTGGATCTGCTGCAGAAAGTTTCAAATCATAAAACCCACCTGACAAATGCCCATGGTTAATTAGCTCCAAATACCTACTTATTGGTTTCTTATAGGTGTTAAATATCTACAACCTTTATTACTTTTTGTCTTTTTGCAACACACAGCTGACATACACATGATTTTAGTGCAGTACTGTTCACATCAACACAATTACAAAGGCCACTGAGTCAGTACTGTCTCGAAATCTTGTATTATGAATGAAAGTCTTTGCCTTCCCACCTTTCACTCACATAATGTAACATCTGTGTACTTTCATAAATGTCAAACATTCACTTTTAGATTGTTCACAAAGTGATTCCTGCCCTTGGGCATGTTTAAACCTTCAATATTTTTCTGTGTGTCATCACAAACTTCATTCATTTTGAGAATGTACTGGAAAAAATCTCCTACAAGTTTTTATCAACGCAGACTCCTCCCCTCCCTTCCCTTCCCTCCCTCTCCTTCCTCCCTCCCTCCCTCCTCTATGCTCTCTCCTCGCTTCCCTCCATTCCAATCGCACATTTTCCTTCATGGTTATTTCCCCTGCTGGTGTAAGGTTTATACTGTCTCCTTCTGGGCACAACATGGATAATCTTTTACTATGCATGGGTAATCCCCTATTGAGTAATACATGGTTATTTCCCAGCTGGTATAACATGAATAATCCCATACTGGGTATATCATTGATAATCTCAAACTGGGTATCACATGAATTAGGCTCCTATTGGGTATTACATGGTTATTTCCCACCTTGTGTAACATGCATAATCCTTTGTTGGGTATAACATGAATAATCAAATGCTCTGTATAGCATAAGTAATCTCATTCTGTGTGTAACATGGATACTCCCCTATTGGGTAATACATGGTTATTTCCCAGCTGGTATTACATGAATAATCCCATGCTGGGTATAACATGAATAATATCATACTGGGTATGACAAGGATAATCCACTATTTTGTATTACATGGCTACTTCCCAGCTGGTAGTACATGAATAATCTTTTGCTGGGTATAACATAAATAATCTGATACTGGGTATGACATGGACAGTTGACTACTGGTTTTCATCATGAATGATTGTACATATTGTTTTCAGTTTTATGGCATGGGCACACTTATATGGTACAAATTTATAAATGTATTTTATGTAGTTTAACACGAATGGTATATGTGGTATTCTGTGTTGGAAATGATTTATTTTTGTGTTTTTTTAACATGGGTCTTCTATTCAGATGGTATAAGTCTATTCATGAGCTGTTCAGTGAATCACAAGTTGAACTGATATTTCAGAATGAAGGTGATGTGGATGTTGACAAAATCCATCCTCCAGGTTTACCTGATGATATAGCTGATGATAAAGAAATTCAGGAGGTACAACATATCTTTTAAAACATTTCTTCCTCTTAGATAGCTTTTATGTTTCACATGTAGAACATTTTTTTATGTCATCTAACATCTGATCTCTGAAATATATTTCTTTTCCACGAGTTTCAATCCTAATTTGGATTTATAGATTTCTAAATGCGTAGGATTTTGCCTCATTGACTTTTGAGCCAATTATAGGTCACAAGAAACTAGATTTCATGTGACCTTACACTCTTGTTTTGGCATTATTGCTTTTTAGCTATTTGTAAAATCAGTTAAAACTTATTTATTAGTTAGGGGCGGTGGGGTAGCCCAATGGTTAAAGCGTTCACTCGTCACGACGAAGACCCGGGATCGATTCCCCACAAGGGTACAATGTGTGAAGCCCATTTCTGGTGTCCCCCGCCGTGATATTGCTTGAATATTTCTTAAAGCGGTGCAAAACCATACTCACTCACTACTTGTTAGTGAATTATAATTCTTTTGCAATCATTTATGTTTAGTTTTGTTGATCCTCAAACCCATTCATGCAAAGGGTACATGGATCATGTTTTTCCCATGCTGCTCTTTCATTTTATAATATACATGCCTTATTGCTAACCGGAAACAATTTACAAGACATGAAAATACATTTGTTTTATCAAACTGAATATTGGTGAAAGGATTTCATGGAAGAAATTAAATGATGCATGAAATATTTAGAATGTGGGATGTGTTCTTCATATTGCTCTGTTTACATGGGAAGTTATGATTGGTACTTTCTTGTAATTGCAGGTTAGTTGGAATTTCCTTCTAACAAATTCTTTCCCCATGGTCCCTACCTAGTAGACCGCCTCCGTGGTGTAGTGGTTAGCGTGTCCGCCCGGAGAGTGGAAGGTCGCTGGTTCGATCCCCGACCGCGTCATACCAAAAGACGTTAAAATATGGTACTTGTTGGTCCCTGCCTGGCGCTCGGCATTAAAGGGTACAACAAGGACTGGTTGGCTTTGGAGTCAGTATAATGTGTCTGAGTGGTGTATCCATGCTTCACTGCGGCGTAGTATCTCAGTGGGCTAGCACTATACAACCAGCTTCAGTCAGGGCTAGTACAAGCAGCCGCATATACAGATACACAGGCATGCATGCACGTCATATGAGCGAAATATTCTCAAGCACGACGTTAAACCCAATTTCACCTCACCTCACCCTACCAAGTATGGTGATCTACCTTCAGTTGTTGGCAATGTATAGCCTGTTTTTATATTATGTATTGTCCAAATAGTGCTATTAGTTTAACTTTACATGCCAATTTCTATTCTAACTGTGATACTCTAGTTGTTTTATTGTCCTTTGATGTGAAATTTGTTCTCATATCGATATGGCTGAAATATTGCTGATGTAACATTAGGTATTAACTCACTCAAACAAATTCTAAAATAAATTTGCTTCTTTTCTCTATTTTTCCAGTCATCACATTGAGACAACTGAAATGCTTACTAGATATTTTATTAGATTCAACCATTTATATTGCCACCTGTTGTTTCTAATTTCAAACTTTTTAAGTGTTGTACAAGTTTCTTTTCTATAACACATTCATCAATGCATAGTTGTTTTGTTGAGTGATACTATTTTACAGACAGATTCACTTCATTTTCGATGTACTGAGTACAAAAATAATGACTGAAGAATATACACTGTATTAACCGTGATTAATTTTATGAGAATATGATGAGTAGCATAGTCTTATAAGACTGTGAAGTCCTTGTGAGCTCTGAAGTTACAAATTACAGCTCAGGGTAGAAAAGAAAAGTGGTTATGACGTAACAGAGTACCATCAGGTCATACTGGTAATATGCAAATCTGATCATGTGAATAATTTCATAGAGTTCCCTACCTTGTAGTGCATATGGACTGTTATACCCTTGGTATGCATGTGTATGCTGAGAAAGTCTCGACACTTTTATGGCAAGGAGGGGTGGTGGGGTAGCCTAGTGGTTAAAGTGTTCGCTCCTCACGCTGAAGGCCCGGGTTAGATTTCCCACTTGGGTACAATGTGTGGAGCCCATTTCTGGTGTCCCCCGTCTGTGATATTGCTAGAATATTGCTTAAATTGGCTTAAAAGCAAATAACTCACTGTATGTCAAGGACACCTATTTGATATGTTGACAAGGTATTGACAGTAACAGTACCAATGTTGTAAAATGATGGAACAAGGTCATGAATGTGATATGTGTGGTACATTAGTGTTGATCTTATTTATATCAGCACGGATGTGGTATATTGACATTTTGTTTTCCCATGTCATTATCACACTGCTGTGGTATTGAAGTTGATTCGGCTCTTGACAACAAATACAGATTTGTTATATTGACAAGGAAGACTGACCCGCTTGTACAACAATGTAGGTGCATTTATGGACAAGCTGATCTTTTCATATGACAGGGATATATCCACTGTATTTTAACTTTAAGTACATGTCATCGTATCCCAATTGCATAGATCAATGCTCATGCTGTTAACGTTGATCACTGGATTGTCTGGTCCGACTCGATAATTTACAGACCACCACTATATAGCTTGAATATTGCTGATTGCGGCGTTAAAGAACAACCAAACCAAACTAAACTATGTGCTAATGTCTTGTGTCAGACTATGGTATATATTAGTATATCAACCCTGCTGTTACAAATGGGGAATATTGACAATTATTGGTATCTTGTTCAGAAAAAGTATACATGTTGCAGTCTGACTTCTAACCTGAGAACACTCAAAAATTTTCAATGAAATGATCAAGTGCATTGACAAAGTGTTGACCTCTTGTATAGCAACGTCTCCAGCTGGATGAGAATAAGGGTGGCGAGGTGAAGGTAGACTTGGAGCAGCCTGTCAATGTGGATGTGCCTGGAGGCAAGGACTCGGTTGAAGTGGTTGGCAACCAGGTACATACAAGCATTTACATGTGCTGTCTTCCTCAAGACACTTTCTGTCCTGCTTCAACCCGGCTACCTTCCTTTCATTTATGGCTTTCTTCTGCCTGTATATGGGACAAATTCTTATCACCTTAACTTGGTTTCGGTTTCTCGTTGGTATTTTCTAAATAAGCTGTGAAACAAGAAATATGCAGTTCATTTTATGTGTGTGGGTATTTGACATTGATTTGGGTCCAGAATCTGTGATAGACATCTCCCATTGTCCTGTCATATATGGAAGATGTCTCCCATTGTCCTCTTTTCTGTGGTAGATGCTTCTCATTGTCCTCTCATCTGTGGAAGATGTCTCCCATTGTCCTCTTTTCTGTGGTAGATGCTTCCCATTGTCCTCTTTTCTGTGGTAGATGCTTCTCATTGTCCTCTCATATGTATGGAAGATGTCTTTCATTGTTCACCAATCTGTGGTTGTCAAGATGTCACCCATTGTCCTCCCATCTCTGGTAGATGTCTGTCATTATCCTGTCTGTGGTAGATAGCTCTTGTTCCCCCATCTGAAGTAGCCTCTCCCATTGTCTTTTCTATGGTAGAGGCTACTTTTTTTCTGTTAGTTGCAGTTTTTGTGATATTTTTCTTAGCTTTTCAGTTTTGTTTCAATATTTTGCAAACTTTTAGTATTATTGCCATTGATTTGCTCACATTCTAGAACTGAATAACACTTCTTAGATACAAAGCCCATAGTTTGAATCAGCTTTATACCATTGCATAGCAAAAGCAAATCTAAGATATCACCTATTTGCAAAATGTCTAGGCATTGTCTCAGTTTGGCCGAACTTCAGATGTAATTTACCAAGCAGATGGAAAAAGTAGTAAGGGGTTGAACTTGAATTTGAATGTTAAACACAATGATGCTGGGGACCTATCAACTGATGATGTATTCAGAAACTATGGGATGTCACTGTCCCAGATCAGATCATACCAGAAGATGTTCAAATATGGTACTTATTATTGCCCTGCCTGGTGCTTGGCATTAATTGGATACAACCAGGACCAGCAGGCACGATGTCAGTATAATGTATCTGGTTGTTAAACCGTGGTATGGTATCAATGAACTCATTTGACATAAGCCTGGTCAAGTACATGCACACATGATCATGGACACGCACATGCCCATGCACACACACACATGCTCATGCACACACACACACGCTCATGCACTCATACACGTTTATGTACAAACACACACATAATAATCTGAAACTAAGGTCACTGAAATTGTTTCTGGTAACGGATACTTGGTGGCAGCTATGCACAAGCTGATCATGTCTTAATGCTTAATTAGTTAGGCTTTAATTAATATAGTAGTTTGGTGTGTAGCCCGATTTGGTGAAAACAGTCATAAGGGACTGTTTGTGAATATGCTTGCATGCAAAGGGAGACAACTGCATGAGGTGCAGGTCAGTGGTTTCCAGTAGTCATCTCTTTTGTGCTTATTTCTTTAGAATTTTTTGTTTTGTTTTGTACTTCCTTTGGGTTTCTCTCTGGTCACCTGGTGATGGACATTGTCTCCATGTACATCTGTGATGCTAATTCCATTGTTCTGTTGTTCTCCACAGGGTGTGCCCGGTGCTTAATGTGATCTCCATGTGTTGTGTCGTACACTGTGAAACTGTCTGCCTTGTGTCACTGCCTCTGTGATTCTCTGTGGACTCTCCAATGTTAATATGCAGTGAAGTTTCTGTAGAAGGATAGCAGATTGGATCTCAAAAGGATGGATACAAATTAGCACCAGATTTACAAATCAAACAATATAAAGAATACACCGAAGTGGAATGCTGTGTGTTGCAATGCATTCAAAGCAGATTAACTAAATTCCTCTGAAGAAATCAGATCATATTTAGTCTCTTAATTGTTGTACTTAATAGATAAATGGTAATCTTAAATTAACAATAAAACACAGACCTATGAAGATCTATGCATACACGTGTTTGGAATTATCTCCATCACGACCCATGAAGATCTGGGTTAGAATTGGTCTAAAGCAACCTATGCTTGCCGTAAGAGGCGACTAACAGAATCGGGTGGTCAGGCTTGCTGACTTGGTTGACACATGTCATCGTATCCCAATTGAGTGGATTGATGCTCGTGCTGTTGATCACTGGAAGTCTGGTCGAGACTCAATTCTTTACAGGCTGCAACCATATAGCTGGAATATTGCTGAGTGTTATGTTAAACAACAAACAAACAATACTACACAATCAACATGAAGAGAGTACCAGTACATTAGGTGACCCATATCTAGCAATCCTGTCTTTCTGTTTGTATAACAGTAGTGCAAATGTTTCTGTCCCGATCAAAGAAACAATGCTTATCACTTGGCATAAATATGATTGAGTTGGAGGGTAGTGTTTGTGTCTGGTTAAAACACTGACTGGTCCCCATATGGGTACAATGTGTGAAGCTCATTTCTGGTATCCCCCGTCGTGATATTGCTGGAAGATTGCTAAAAGCGACATAAAACTCAACTCACTCACTCACTGGTCTTATTGAATTGCTCCCAGTGATATAATCTGCAGAGCCAATTATTACATCACCCAACAATATACAAACACAATGTGATATTCTGTAACAATTCCTTAAGTGGGATCAAACTCTTTATACAGTTCATATTTTAAAAATCTTTCATTTATGTTCCTATTTCATATACAACCAAAACTTAATTGTTACTCACTCTAAAGTCATTTGAAGTGGTCTTTATTGATTGTGTATAAAAATGTTCTTTTCAAATGTTTATCCTCTTTAAATCAATTCATAATAACGTCATCAGTGAATACAATTTAGAAAATTTCAAATCATTATGTAACAGGTACTTGCTTTGTAATAGCTATTAATAGAAACATCTGTAACTACTCATAAATGATAAGTAATGCCATAGATACTTATTTCTAGCTGTTTTACAGTTTTCGTTGGCATTTAGTCCTGAAACAGTTCAGTGAGGAGCCTGTTGCATTATGGGTTAGGATTCGTCGTCAATATCATATACATGTACTTGCAGTTGAAGGTGACTAAATTGGTGGTGGCTAGGCTAGGTGGTGAATAGCATGTCAACAAACCGTGATACTGGATACAGTTGGTGATAATATCAATCAATGGATCATCTTAGCACAGGATTTACAGGACGCGAATTCTTGCGTCCTATTCGCATAAAACTGACGACCGCAATGAAATTTATTAGTGTCGACAGGGACGTAGAAAAAGTCAAATGCTTTTTGTAAAAATTCCGATCAAGTAACAATGAGTTATCACTGAGTCTGCAACTAGCCGGGTATAATTTGCAATTTAATTACTGTAACGATGTGATGAACATGATACACAATACAATAACAGTAACTGAATTAAAACATTATGACAACATAGTATTAATAATAATATTTAAGTGTCTGGGACCCTATTTTGTAGACCAGCACCCCTGAAAATTAAAGAGTATGAGTCCCAGGGACCCTCAAATACAGGACTCAATATAAATCCCTGATGATAATATAGTCAATGGATCATCCTATAGCTCTGCTTAGCAGATGCTGTCACTTAGATATTACTGAGAGGGTCATTACAAGACAAACATATCACAAAACTGTTCAATACATTTAGACTGTGTGGTCTGTAACAGTGGTACTTAGTACATCCACTTGGAGTTAAATTAAAAAGTAAGGGAAACAGGTGTGTCTCAGTTGGTCAGTGGAAGTTGGAAATATCGCATAATCTTTTAGAAGTGTCTAAAGTGCAACCAAATTTCAGTTTGTCCCTGAATCTTTTGAATTATTTCCTACTCAGCAAATGTTAAATGTAATTATTCACTGGAAATTTTGAACAGCATGTCTTAACAATTAGTTTTGAGGAATATATTACTATGATTTTTAAACTTCCATAAATGTTATTGCAAAATAATTCAGTGTGAAATAACAAGGAAATGTACATTGTGTATTAAAATTAAGTTTACAAATCAATACACATTTCTGTAATGTAATTAAAATGGCTGATTGGCAAAATTCAATGGCTGTATAAAAAACAATGGCAATGATAATATAATTGCAGTCTGTGATTATAATAGTCAACTGGCAGCTGCAGTGATAACATTTCTTACACAGGTATTGACTGGATAGCCAGCTGGAAAACATAATCTTCACATGATCTCTAATTTTGGGTCTGTGTGAGGTGCAAGAGGCATGCACTTACCTACACCTAAACTGCAGATTTATACCTGACCCCCAAAGCATAAAAATATATTCCACACCACTGATTACAAAACTAATTGCTAATACATGAAGTTCAAAATTTCTACTGAATCATGAGAGGAACAGTGTTATACAATTACAACATTGTTTAACTCTGCCATATAAATATACAGACCACTAGACTTCCAGAAATACTCTTTTTTCAATTGTGACTTTCCACGAAGGATCTGAACTGCTTATGGTGAAAAGTATTATTTCCCATGAAGCAAGAGAAATTTTACATTGAGGGTCATTATTGAAAATATATCATTAGGATATATGAGGGACTTTTAGCAAGAAATGTGTGGATTCATGTTTCCTTGATTGGGTGAAAAATTTTTAGGTGATTATTCATGTGTAGATTATATATATGCCATTGATTTCATTTTACGTCCATTTTCATGTGTAAATTGTGTCACTCTTCTGAAAATGTGGATCTCATTATTTTGGTTTGTTTTTAAAATGGATAGTACATAAAACACTGATATTGTTTGAAATCGTATTTATTGTTTTACTCAATTTGTCTCACTCTTTACTTTTTGAGGAATGGACTGTACAGAAGAAAATAAAATATATTTCATTGACAAAAGTAGCTTTGTTTGTACTGTAGCTTTTAAACATGCCACCATTACCAGATCAGTAGTACAACAAGTAGTACAACAGTGGTGCAAGGAGCATGATCATGTTTTTGATCTCAATATGTTTATAGCACCTCATTCTTGTCCCTAATTGGGACATAGCTGTCTCCAGTACCTAATGCTTTGGGGCATTATGGCTGAATAGATACCCTTGGGGGCATTCTGCCAGAGCAGGTTCCTAGTACCTAATGATTGTCTCCCTGTGGGGATTCTGGGCAGAGTTGTCCCCGGTACCTAATGCTTGTCTCCTTAGGGGCATACTGGCAGAATAGGTACCCCGTACCTAATACCTGTCTCTTTTGGGGCATTCTGGCAGAATAGGTACCCAGTACCTAATGCTTGTCTCCCTGTGGGGATTCTGACAGAATAGGCACTCTGTCCTGAATGTGCTTGTCTTCCGATTCTGCATTCTGGCCATAATGAATTTGTGATACCTTTATGCCTGTTCATGTTGTGAGAGCTTATTAGAATGAGGGAAGGTGGTGGCAATATGTACTTCCTGTGCTCTTTCCTGGTACTCTTGCTGTCACTCATCAATATCAAGGATTTTGCAAGTTATATCATGGAATACATTGAAGGAAATGTATTTTTTACCTTCATGTTCATTATTCATTGGTTTGTATTAAAGGAAGTCCTATAAATTTTGGGGCGGTGGGGTAACCTAATGGTTAAAGTGTTGGCTCGTCACGCTGAAGACCCGGGTTCGAATCCCCACATGGGCACAATGTGTGAAGCCCATTTCTGGTGTACCCTGCCGTGATGTTGCTGGAATATTGCTAAAAGCGGCGTAAAACCAAACTCAGTCAGTCAGTCCTATCAATTTGGGGGCTATGGGGTAGCGTTCAAGTGTTGGCTCGTCACGCCGAAGGCCTGGGTTCGATTCCTCACATGGGTACAATATGTGAAGCCCATTTCTGGTGTTCCCTGCCATAATATTGCTGGAATATTGCTAAAAGTGGCATAAAACCATACTCACTCACATACTCACTCCTATAAATTTGTGTGTTTGAAGGAACAGTGCATAAAATCCAAGTGCGTTTAGAGGACGCAAGGATTGGTTACGTTGCTTGACCTGTTTTTGTCCACACACCCTGATGGAATGGGGGGATGGTGGGATAACCTACTGGTTAAAGCATTCACTCATCACGATGAAGACCCGGGTTCGATTCCCCAATTGGGTGAAATATGTGAAGCCCATTTCTGGTGTCCCCTGTTGTGATATTGATGGAATATTGCTATAAGCTGCGAAAAACTAAACTCACTCACTGATGGCCTGCTTGGCTGGTCCTGCTGTTGTCAGGCCAGATTAGATTATTACAGGCTACACGACAAGATTAATGGTATGGACTGATATTAAAAATCATACACTCACTCACTCAGGTTTCTTAATGTACATAATATTTCTTGTATATTTCATGATTGTTTTATTTTTCTTGTATTACTTTCTGTTGGTTATGTCTATAGATTTATACTACTAAACTCAGGCCTGACTTTTTATCTGTGTTTTTGTTTCTTGAAATGTTTGATAGGTAAATTAAACAATTGAATATGGCAGGCATTGTACATGAGTTTGTAATTATCCAAGAGCTTGATATGGATTGGGAGGTGCGAAGAAAATATGGATTGGTTTGGCTACTTATAATATGCAGGTATTCATGATTTTTATGACCATTTTTTACCACATTTTCTCAGAATATTGTATTTTCAGATCAGTAATCCTAACAAAACAAATGTAAGGCCTCACATAGTAGGCTTTTCACTCGTGCCTGCACCATTTGAGAAATATGTCATCTTGTATCTAAAATATACCTTCCATATGAATTGGTGGGGCATTTCACTGCCCATTGTTATCAAGACAGTGGCTCATTATGTCAAACACTATGTAGACTCTGTATGTGAGACCAATGATTTGTCAGAATTAATATTTTTAGCTTGTTTAGAACTGTTTTTCCACTAGAAATATGAGATCACATGTGTTTTCATTAATCTGACATATGGTAAGTTCACTATGGGTTATTTGAATGGGATAGATTTAAATTATCCTTACCTATTTCTTCCTGGGGTTTGGGACTGATACATACAGGTGGTCTAGTATCTTGGATTTTAGTATAGGTTTGCTCCTTAGCCTTGATAAGAGTCCAATGGTTTTGGTTTTAATCCCAGTATCTTTGATTATGATCCTTTACCAGTGGGTTCACCAAAGGTGTAAATATGAGAAAACTAGGCCCTGTTGCACAAAGGAATCTTAACGCTACGATCTGTCTGTCATTAAACTATGCGAGTCATGCTTCACTTCTAGCTTTCCCCCAGTCTTATTAAGCTGAACTTCTTTCAGAGCTGCATGCAAACCCAACCCTCCTGGGCCCCGTTTCACAAAGCTCCTGTAAGCCTAAGATCTCGTAGCATTCACACCTCCTATACTGTAAAATAGACTTACGACAGTCGTAACGCTCTACGATAGCTTTGTGAAACAGGGCCCAGAAACACAACCTTCCTTCAGAGTAGCTCTCATCCTCTTTGCCTTGTAAATATACTGAGCAGAAGAAGTTAGACATCTTGAATATGTTGGAGAATTTTTTCTTCAGCGAAATCGTCATTTATCAAGATGTTCCCCAAAATATTCAGTATCCTCTACGTTTTTGTCCAGTATATATTGCATGATTACATCCACAATAATAAATCCTGTATCATTCACTGTAACTTTTGTAGGTTAAGCTGCATAAAAACAATGTTTCTCTGGCACATTTTCATAAGCAATCACAATTGAATGTGGACATTTTTATGTTGAAGACTATACTGATGAGGGAACTACACGTTTTTGCAGCAAAAACAAAAAATACATCCAAAAATACAATAAGTGGATGTCTGTGTCAAAATACCTGAAAATGTATGTTTTAAATTTATTGAATTTGCCTCACTTGATGTGGGAAGGTAGAAAACAAGTACATAAAGGATTTGAAGTGATGGAAGACATATGCCCGGGAAACACATGTTTCTTAGAGAGTCCAGTTAGATTCTTCTTTGTATTCATGTTTTAACAAGAATTGATTTAAAGAGTGATTCAGAGGGAAGTGGTTGAATTTGCAAGGAACAAGTATATTTTTGAAAATGGGTATTTTCAAGTGAGTCCAATGCAAGAAATATTACTGATTTCTTTGATGTTATAGGTTCAATAGCAAATTAACTTTCATACCATCTTATTCTTCTTTTAAAGTGTATTTTTGGTACTTTTATTATCTTCCAAACCTCTTTTCAAAATGAGATATTTGAAAAAAGAGTTTTTGAATGTTTCGATCTATGTTCAGAAAACTAGAGACATCTATTTGGAAGTGTGAAAGCATATCAGCCATTCACTGTATATACTTCCATATTTCTTACTGTTGCAATCTGGAAATGTGAAATGATATTTAACTGCACTTGAACAAAGCTGAAAATATTGCAGTTCATTGGCAGTATGGAATACCATCATACCCTTTCTAAGCAATCAATCACACACAGTTTTCCTGGTCTGGTGTGTCTATATCAAGGGCAGGTGAAATTAGAAAGGTTAAAAGGGATTTACTAAAATAACAACAATTTAAGGATGACAACAGAAGTTTGTGGTGCCATTTCTGGTGTTCTGAAAATGGACAACGTTTTTTATACTCAGGTGCTTGTCACATAACAAATAGCATCAAAGTTTATACAATCAGGTTATGCCTTGTCAAAAACAATATCAATCTACATCTAGATTGATATATATATATATACATAGTTCTATGACTCATGCACCCGTGAAGGTCCGGGTTAGAATGCACCTCCAGTAACCCATGCTTGTCGTAAGAGGCGACTAACGGGATCGGTTTGTCAGGCTCGCTGGCTTGGTTGACACATGTCATCAGTTCCCAAATGCGCAGATCAATGCTCATGTTGTTGATCACTGGATTGTCTGGCCTAAACTTGAATATTTACAGACCGCCACCATATGGCCGGAATATTGCTGAGTGAGGCATAAAACTCAACTCACTCACTCATTCACTCACTCTGACCCATGACCCTGGTATTGACAACATTTACATTGATGCTATGTCCTTTGTGACAGCTCCTGTGGTATTGTAGGTGTTCCTCTGCTGCCAGGCCAGGTATGTTGCCTCCAGCACTGGCGTGATTGTTGTTTTGTATAGATCATGTGAGGTATCTAATATATCTGCCCTGTTTAACAAGTATTTGGTTTGTGTAGGGCTTTCAGGATGTTCATCCGGATGTGATGGCAAACCAGGGTCAAATCTTCAAACCTGATTTCAACAACCAGGTTATGGGAGACAACAAGCCCCAGGTAGACGCTCAAGACAACCAGCTGGGCCTCAACCATGACAACAGGATACAGAACGAGGGGCCAGTTAATCTACAGGTAGGTGGTGGAGAAATAGTATCAGCTGCAACAACTTAAACTGTCACAGCATAAAATACTCTGGAGTATTCCAGTTACAGGAGCCATTAAATTATCAAGTCTGAACCAGACAATCCAGTGATTAATATTAAGGAGGTCTTCCCATCCAGAGTTAAGATGACATGCAGTACAACAAGGCCTATCTAACTGGTTGCTACATTTACCACTCAGATGTCACCAGGGCCTATTTCAATCAGCATCAGGGGCGGTGGGGTAGCCTAGTGGTTAAAGCGTTGGCTCGTCACGCCGAAGACCCGGGTTCGAATCCCCACATGGGTACAATGTGTGAAGCCCATTTCTGGTGTCCCCCGCCGTGATGTTGCTGGAATATTGCTAAAAGCGGCGTAAAACCAAACTCAGTCAGTCAGTCAGTCAATCAGCATCAGATGTAACATACATGGATATCAGATCTTTTGTCCCCTATAGATGTGTTTAAAGACATTTTGTATGTTGTATGAACATTTCATTTACAAAGGGGTGGTGGTGGGGTAGCCTAGTGGTTAAAATCATAGTGTCCACTTGTCACACTGATGACACGGGTTCGATTCCCCACATGGGTACAGTGTGTGAAGCCCATTTCTGGTGTCCTCCGCTGTGATGTTGCTGGAATATTGCTAAAAGCGGCATAAAACTCACTCCTGTGGTAATTAAGTCACTCATTTACAAAGAGTTGCAAGGAAGGTAAATATAAAGAATTCCTTTGTCAAGTATTTTGAAATGAACTTTATCAACACTGGTCGATAAAATATAGCCACTAAGTGGCAAACCTTTATTGACAAGTGTTGATATATTGTATATCAAAGGAGTGTATGAAATAAGCCAAAACCACAGCCAGACATCAGGGCTGGTAACTCCAAAATGGATTCAACCAGACCAGACCCCAAGATATGACTAAATCTAGACTGTTCGACTGAAAGCTAACCCGTCTCAGGCTGTCGGACGGGCCTTATTTCATACACTGTTCAAAGGTCTTGGTGATATGTACACTGGTGAATAAAAGGTAGTAACTATATATGTGAGGCAAGTCGATATTGACAAGTGTAGTATATTTATTCGATATCAATGGACACCAGGATGAGATTCTATTTATCATCCAAAATAATTCTCAACTTTTTCAGTCACTTTTTCAGACATGCCAGTATTAAATGAAATACTGCTCAAATCAGTATTCAACCAAACTCACTTACAGGAACCCTAATTTCAACTTAAAAGTCCTACGGATCTGGTAAAAACTTAAATTAAGGTCTAATATTTTTCTTTTCCTGTTGGGAAATTCAGTTTCATTCAAATTTGGGGGCAGTGGGGTAGCCTTGTGGTTAAAGCGTTTGCTCGTCACACCGAAGATCCAGGTTGATTCCCCACATGGGTACAATGTTTGAAGCCCATTTCTGGTGTCCCCCGCTGTGATATTGCTGGAATATTGCTAAAAGCGGCGGCATAAAACTAAACTAACTCACTCTTTGCCTGTCTTATCCTTTCTTATCCTGTGTTGGTAGGTCCAAGAGCCACTGCTTCCCAATAGGAACTTTGATGAGGACAAACACATCCCACAACAACAGCTTCCCCCACGGAATGATGCTGACCAGGTTGGGAATGAGGCTCCACCTCTCCAGCCTCAGGGTCAAGGGCAAATGATGATCCCAAACTTTGGTCTTGGAAAGAACATGGGCAAGGTATTTATGGTATATACATTTTTTACAAGCTTTTGTTTCATTAATTAATGCAGGATATTCCATTTCTAATGCATACACGTCACCTACCCCACGTTCCACCACGCCACTTCTCACCATAACACGGCACACCACATCATGTCACCACACCACCCTACGGCACACCACACAAATGCATCAATCTCCGCATATACCTGTGACAGTGGGTTTTGCTTGAGTGTTAAACATCCCCAACCTGCTTTCATACCACATTTGGAGCAGTGGGGTAGCCTAGAGGTTAAAGCGTTGGCTCGTCATGCCGAAGACCCGGGTTCGATTCCCCACATGGGTACAATGTGTGAAGCCCATTTCTTGTGATCCCTGCCGGGATAAGTGGTGTAAAACCATACTCACTCACTCACTTCATACCACATTAAGCAAGCATGCCATGATGAAATGGAAATTTTGTTTAATGTTTCCAAGAAAACTGAATGACAATTCTATTTGACACATTACATCATTGCATTACGCATGGTGGCCCAATGATCCTATGCATGTCAGGGTTTAAATGTGAGAAATGATGTACTGTCCTTGTTGTTTCAGGATGGTGATGTGCAGGTGGAAGGAGAAGGTGGGTGATGATGATGTTGCTGTAGTTGTAGTTGCTGCTTATGTAATATGGTGTAAGAATATACAGTAATCCCTATATTGCTGCCATTATTGTCACTATAAGTTATGGTCTTCTCACAAGATCAAATAGTGTTTTTTGTCTTTGTTTTAGGAGTTTTTCAGCAAATTTAATGCCATGCTATGTTAAATCTTTTATACTCTTTAGTTCTTTTGTTTTAAATATAGACAGCAAGTCAGTGTATTTTGTTTGTCATTGACATCTCTTGTCCCTTTGATGAAAGCAGAGTTATCTACCCTTGTGAGAATTGACTGGTAGGATAAAATTAACCCATACAGAAACCAGCAGTGTAGTTTCCCTTATGAGCAGCAAGTGCCCTTAAATGTATGTTCAGACTCTATCAGTAGGTCAAAGTAGATAGAAATTAGGTATTCATGTTCAGTGTGTTTTTTGGCTATTTTACATTACCTGCCATAACATGGACAGGAACTGGAGTGCTTTTTGTTTCGCTGGCAAGGTATCTTCTTAACATGTTACATTGAGTGAAGATAATTTCTGTTTTCCACCAATGTAATAATGCTGGAACATTGCTAAAAATGGCATGAAACTATACTAAAGTGTCAGGTAATTTTTGCCAGCCAACAACAGCTACTTTCCGATGAATATCCAACCAGGCTTTATGGTTTATGGTTAGGGTGTGAGGTATTGCTTTTTTAACTGGGTGTAGAGGAAGGCTAAATTTGTGCATATGTTTCTGCTGTTTCGCTAGTCAACTATCTCACTCTGTAGTAAACCAGAAATCTGTGCACCTGGGAATCTTTGTTTCATATCAGACTTCCTTTCAGTGAACCAAGTAAGACACATCTTTTTGACCAAAAGGGAATGTGGAACATAGCTATGCCAGAGTCACTATTCTCAGGTCTAACTCCCAATCCCATGAATCTGATCCAGATGTCTCCAACTTGTGAGAGTGTGTGATATTCCTCTCATGTCTTGCAAATGAAAAACTGTTAATAAGAATAAAAGAGAACACCTTGGATGAATCAAAAGGACTGGGTCAATCTGAACATGGCCTTAGGTCTTATCCATTTGACTCATGAAGATCCGGATAAGATTTGATCTTCAGTAACCCATGCTTGTCGCAAGAGACGACTAACGGGATCGGGTTGTCAGGCTCACTGACTACGTTGACCCATGTCATCGTATCCCAATTGCGTAGATCGATGCTAATGCTGTTGATCACTGGATTGTCTTGTCCAGACTTGATTATTTACAGACCGCCGCCATATAGCTGAAGTATTGCTGAGTGCGTCATAAGACTAAAATCACTCACTCAGTGTTATCCATATATTAAGGGTACATTGGTCACATGGTGTAACCCACCACAAAGCACCTGTCAGAATCTAATAGTCGTGAGTTTGAATCCCACACTTACATTCAGTGTGTCGGCACCATGATGCAGGTGAGCTAGCCTCCCGTGTTGGCATCTCACCAGAAATTGAGGAGATACTGATCAGCATTAATCCCTTGATGTTTTTGGGAAGTAACAGCGGTTATTTTAATTACATCTCAAGGGATCAGACATTTTGCTGGAGGTTGTGGAATTGTGAGGGTCAACAAAAAATTTGACAAACTTGAGAATTCATGCACATTTTTGGGGGAGGGTCATGCAAAAAGTGACATATGATAATGAATAATGACATAATATAAGTGCTTTTGAATTATGTCTTTCAGGGAGGGCACGAAAAATGTACTCTGACACGGGAAGGGTAATATATATATATATGACAAGCATTAAGGGGAGGGTCATTACTTTCTGTTTCTCAGTGCATTAAAAACCTGTTGGACATGCATGCACACCATGGAATCGATGACTGGTCCTAAATGTTTTGATCATAATGATTATTAATAAGATTCCTCGACTTTCATGCTTCACAGCTGTACGTCAGTGATGTTGTGGAGAAATGTCTGTGATATTAATGAAGTATTCCCAGTGGTCCTTTGGAACTGTCTAGACCTGTGCTTCTCTTTTTTGTAAAAATGCTTCAGATGTTTTTGCTTGAGCTTCACCAGGCACTTGTTTTTACAAGAGAATTTGTACCAAGTTTCCAAAATCTTAACCAATAACCCAGATGCATTGTGATGTGTGAAGACATACTGTCACTATCACGAATCCATGAACTTCCTTGCAAGAGAAAAACCCCACAGTAACTGTACCCATAATTGTTTGAGTCGAAGATGGATGTGTAAGTAGGAGGGGGTGGGGTAGGCTACGATGGACTAGCTTTGTGGTTTAAGCATTCGCTTATGATTGCCAGGTTCAATTCCTCACATGGGCTAATGTGTAAAGCCCATTTTGATGCCCCAGACCATGATATTGCTGGAATATTGCTGAAAGTGGTGTATAGTTTTAACTCATTCACTGACTAGATGTGCAGGATGACAGTGATATGAAACATCACTGAGAATTTCAGTACTGTGTTGCATTTAAAAGTGTTGAGCATTTGTGCTGTGGTGGTTCAGGGCTTTAAATATCAACAATGTGTGAAACTAATCACTGTGTATGGTAATGTTGTGTTTGATCTCAACTACAGTGTGTGAAAGTGTGGCAGTTTTGTGTCAGGCCTGGTAGGACTAGGATATATCAGTGTTTTATGTCAGAGACACAGTGTATAATTGTGTATGATATGACTATATTGTGTCAGGGATGCAGTGTAAAAGTGTGTATGCTATATTGTGTTGGGAGTGTATACAAATGAGCAAGGGTGTAATTGTGTGTGTGTACTATATGACTGTAAGAGTGTGTGTAAGGACTATGGCAATATTGTTTCAGGACTACAATGTGCAAGGGTGTATGGCTATATTGTTTCAGGACTACAATGTGTAAGAGTGTATTGTTTAAGGACTACAATGAGCAAGGGTGTATGGCTTATTGTTTCATTGTTATCTTGAATACAATGAGCAATGGCTATATTGTTTCAGGAGTACAATGAGCAAGAATCTATGGCTATATTGTTTTGGTACAGGGCTACACTGTGTGTGAGTGTGTGACTGTATTGTCGGGCCAGGTAGGGCTACAATTTATCAATGTTACATTGTGTAAGTGTGGATTGCAATATTGTATCAGGGTTATTATTTATCAAGCTGAATATTTATATTGTAGTAGGGTAGACTACAAAAGGACATTATGTACGGCAATGTATTGTCTTGGCCACAATGTGTAAGCATGTCCGCTATATTCTGCCAGTCAGGTAGGTATAATGTATGTATGGCTGTATACATGTGGCAGCATTATTATGTCCTGCTAAATGGCTGCATTGTATCATATCATGCAACAACATATCAGAGTATATGGCTTAATCTGCCATTATGCATGTATGTGTTCACAGCGATGATTTGTCAGTGCTTCAGTGTGTAAGTGTGTAAGTGTGTGACTCTGTTACGTCAGGCAACAATACTGCAGCACTCAGCATTATTCCAGCTATATTCCAGCAGTCTGTAAATAATCAAATCTGGACCAGACAATCCAGTGATCATTGATCATATTAGAATATGACATGCATCACCAAGCCTAACCACACAATCCCATACATCACCTCTGACAACAAGCCTGGGTTGCTGAAGATTATTTCTAGCCGGAATGTGTGTGTCCAAAGGGCTACAATATGGCAGTGTGTATGTGTGTAATGGGTGGGGGCAGGGTAATTATATATTGATGCATACAGGAATCAGTGAAGATAGTTGAACCCTTTGTGCTGGAAGTGAGATGAGTACAAGTATAAGAAGAGGTATAGGTTTTAAGTAACAGAAGGTGGATGTTAATTACACAGCCGCTGTGTGTTCTGGTACTAACCAGGTGTGGGGGTGTTATTTCAGAGGAGGAGGAGGAGGAAGATGAGGAACAATATAATGATGACAATGTAGATAAGTATGAGATGGATGACACAGCAGACAAGGACACACTGCAGGAGCAAATGGACGTCTGATGTCAGTCGTCTCTGCTACAGGTGCTCCCACGCTCACAAGGGACACACTCTGTTGTCTTGTTCTCTTTTGTGCATACTCACAGTCTCAAAAGGATTTCACATTTGTGTTTCATTATCATTTATTTTCTATTCTAAATAATGAGCTATGTTTTTAAGTGTTTGATTTAGGTCTTGTCTGATGTGTACTGTAATATTCAGTTAATATGCTTTCTACATTTTTGAAAATACAGAACTAATGTTTCCTATCATATGCTATAAGAAACTTTCAATCCCAGAATGTTGCTTTTAGTATTTAAGAACCAGTATATCTGCTTACACAGCCGTTACATTGCTACCCCTCATTTTCCACAGCTGCCCATTTCAATGATACCAAAAATATTTAAATGATTTACATGAGCTCCCTACATTGACCTGATCCAGTAATACATGGAATTATTAGAGGACGAGTGATTCAGGTCAAAGCTATATCTGTTGATTGTTTAGAGTTGTATCCCTTAGTTGTGGCAGTACACAGTTCATCCTGATTAAGGGCTGTGGGGTAGCCTAGAGGTGAAAGTGTTTGCAAGTCATGCCAAAGACCCGGGTTCGATTCCCCACATGGGTACAATGTGTGAAGCCCATTTCTGGTGTCCCCGCCGTGATATTGCTGGAATATTGCTAAAAGCGGCATAAAATTCAAATCACTATCTTAATCATCCAGATTATGATCACGAACACGTTTCGAGTGACCTGCACTATGTTGAGCCTTACTCATGCATTAAGATAAGTGGACTAAGAGCCCTCTGTGACACAACTGAAATCCAGTTCAGAGTTGTTTTAAACTTTAATTTTTAAACTTATTTTAGTGGTAACTTACTATCCTTAGTTCAGGCTCATTCATTTATTTGTCAGCATAAACATCAGACAAGGCCTAAAAGAAACTGTACTATACCACAGTGTTAACAAACTGAGGTTAATTACAGCAGCTGCTGACCAAGTGAATGCAAAAGATTTTTCAAAAGTACAAAAGATTTTTCTGAGTAGGCAAGACGCAGTGAGCAAGACAAGCATGAGTATGACTACCTGTTTTCTGACGCATGTTGTAAACATATTGTGCTCGCTCCATGTCTAACTGTTGTCTTGCAAATAACAGCGTCTCCAAGTATTTAACCATCTCTACTAACACTCGCTAGTTTGTGCTTCTGGTAACTGTATCTGCTGTGTAACTTCCATTACTCAACGGACATCTCAATAGTTCAGGCAACTGCAAGATTAAGCTGATTTCATCTTCGTTTTACCACTCACATGATAAATGCAGTGAATAGTAAGATGGTCTTTCTCCGATTTAGATGTGAAGCCCATTTCTGGTGTCCCCCGCCACGATATTGCTGTAATATTGCTAAAAGCGGCTTAAAACCATACCCACTCACTCACTTCTCACACATTCTCCGATTAAGAGCAATACAATTCAGCAGTTTGACAGGAGAAAAACTACACACGGCAGCGTTTGTGTTTGAAGTCCTTCCTTTAATTACAATTTGGTCTCATTGTCATTTATAAACATTTGACATTTGATTTTTAAATTTGTGCAGGAAGGAGTAGAAACTGGAGACACAAAAATGGTTGCTTCGACATAAGTTTTTATGACACACATTACTGCCTTGAGCATGTAATATCGCCATGATATATGTTTAAAGAAATTAGAAATCAAACAATGTAATTGAGACTTCATCTATTGCTGGAATATTGATAAAAGCGTCGTAAAACTAAACTCACTCACTCATCCACCTAATATGAAAGAACTTAAGTCTGGCAGTTTACTGAAGACATTTGAGATGATCCCCATATAAAAGCTGGTTAAACCGTCTGGACCATTGTGTTGTGCATTATTTGAGTTTATTTGAGTTCATTTATTTTCATTATAGGTGTTGCTGGGCATGTATGTTGTGTGGTAGTCCCAATTCAGTGATTATTTACAAATTGTAATTAATTGGTTTAATTAACCAGAAGGAATCTGTTAAGATTTCAGGGTGTTCATGTACATTTGAAACTTTTAAGAAATATCTCACCATTTCAGTTGTTTATCAGCAAAGAGTGCATGGGTTACAGTTGTCTCCCTTTGCTACCAGGATTCCTTAGATACTAGTTCAAATCACGTCAATTTTGATCCTGGCGATGAACATCTATCCACCTATGTCAAAACCATAAAATCAGTACAACTGAATACTCGGAAGATGGATGCTGTCTGCACTGTCACAGGCAGGGCTTGATTTTCGAAGGCCTCTTAGAGCTAAGATAGTCGTAAGTGCCATACATTAACAGTAACTTACGACTATCTTAGCTCTAAGAAAGCTTAGAAAATCTAGGCCCAGGATTCTAGCGTCTTGTGGTACCCTGTAATCAGTGTAACCAAGCTCTTTGGTATCACCAAAGTCGTGATTGTCCTCCATGACTGTGTGTTTTCTTCCCAAGTCAAGTTTACAAGCAGTGAAATAACCAAATCAGGGCACTTGTTCACTTTCGTCACAACATGTCTCTTTATCATCCACATCCCCAGTCCCAACATGGTTAAAATAATGCCAACGTGATTTTAAATTTTAACTCACTCACTCATCCATACCCTTTTATCATATCATCACACCACGACTGTTCTTGAGGTCCTGTCATGACACCATGACATATTATCATCATATTCTACCCTGTCATATCCCTTCTCACCGTATCACAGCCTAATGCTATGCCATACCATACCCTGTCATAATTTTTCACCCGACCTCTACACCATATCATATCCTGTCATGTCATCTCATCACCAAACCTCATCACCATTTCATATCCTTTCGTATGTCATCACCATACCATACCATACCATGGGGTATTCATGCTTCACTGCGGCATGGTATCTCAGTGGGATAGCACTATAAAACCAGCTTAAGTCTGGGCTTGTACAAGCAGCCGCACATACACATACACACGCATGCACATCGTCATATGAGCAAAATATTCTTAAGCACGACGTTAAACCCAATTTCACCTCACCTCACCATACCATACCATACCATACCATACCATCTCCACACCTTATTGGACCAACTCCGTGGTATAGTGGAGGCCCGGAGAGCGGAATGTTGCCGGTTTGATCCCCGACCGTGTTATGCCAAAAGATGTTAAAATATGGTACTTGTTAGTCCCTGCCTGGCTCTCGGCATTAATGGGTATAACAAGGACTGGTCGGCTCGGAGTCAGTATAATGTGTCTGACTGGGGTATTCATACTTCACTGCGGCATGATATCTCAGTGAGCTAGCACTATAAAACCAGCTTGAGTCTGGGCTAGTAGAAGCAGCCACACATACACATGCATGCATGTCGTCATATGAGTGAAATATTCTTAAGTACGACGTTAAACCCCGTTAAACCCCATTTCACCTCACCTCACCTCACCTCACCCCATACCTCACTTCACCATATGCTGTCACATGTCATACCATGGAAGTTTGTTTAGTTTTGAGAACTAAACACCCCCAGTGATATAGGGTTTTACTCCTATGATTTGACCTTGTGGTTAAAGCATTTACTTGACATGTCAAAGGTCTTGAATCAGATGGGTATGGTACAGTGTGCTTGAGGCCCTATCAGCAACTAGAATAAAGCATGGGTTGCCTTAGAGCAGAGTTGTGGATCTTAGATAACTGTTAGGATTTATTGAGCAAGGTTCTAATCCCAGATTTATCATGACCCTAGGTTTGTCAACATTACCTAACTTTCATATTGTTGGTCATTGTCCACAATCTGCATTCCTTTGGACTCGAAGCTGAAATGCTTTGAATGACCAACTTGTTCAAAAAAATGCTCAACCCAACTCATTGAAGTGGCACATTTCCGCTAGCTATTTTGCATAATGTGACTCAACTTTTCTCAAGTGTTGTAATTAGCATGATAAGTTCCAAGAAAAACGCTCCTGGTCAGAAAATCCGTCTTCCAGATCAGGTGGTTTTGCTGTGTGTTTTGGTAGAAAGCATGCTGTTGTTCTCTAACAGTGTGGAATATAGCTCATGATAAGGGTAACAGAATTGTTCGGCTCAACTAAGAATTCAGTGGATTTAAGAACCCTACTGTCAAAAATTAGAAGGGAATCATTCTACTTCATAAAACACAAAGGTTCAGGAATACATGTAGTGAAATATTTGGTGTTTATAGGATGTGTTTAACTTTAAGATATACATAGCATCAATGTATTTATTGCATGCTTAGTTCTGTCAGTATATATTCATATATCACCTGCAGTTCTTCTTCGACTGGATCAAGCTTATTTACTTTTTGCCAGCAGAAGATACATAATTATGAAATATGAAATAAAGTTTTAGCTGTTAGGAGATTAATGTTTTTGAGTAAACAGGTCATGATAACACACAACTCGATCCATAGCTTTCTGTGTCATTATACAAAACAATGGTATTTAAATGTTTGGGCAGTGCAGAATATAGTTCAGGAAACGTGTCTTGATCCAGTCAATTGAATTAACATGCAGCTATATCCACCTTGTAATCATGGCCACTTGCTGAAGCTGAAATCTAGTTCAGTGTCAGTTTTCGTTAGTTTTTGGGAATATTTTAAGTTTTTTAGAATTGGTTTGTGATTTAGATGTGATAGTTGTGAACATGTGATTTTGCTCTGTTTGTGAATCGTACATAATCACTACTGATCATGCACCCAATAGCTGTTTTCTATGGCCTGGTGTTTACTCTTTTGTTGAGTAAAATCTGGCTTCACTGGCTTACTTACTTTATTTGTGTCACTAGTTGTGTAATGTTTTATTATTTATAAGTTTTTCAATAGTCATCATCATCTCCTATGGGGATGTTATGAAAGATTGAACCCGTGAAGATCAGGGTTAGAATTGATGTTCAGTAACCCATGCTTGTTGTAAGATGCGACTAATGGAATTGGGTGGTCAAGCTCCCTGACTTGGTTGACACATGTCACTGTATCAAAATTGCGTCAATCGATGCTCATACTGTTGATCACTGGATTGTCTGGTCCAGATTCTATTATTTACAGACTGTCACCATATAGCTGGAATATTGCTGAGTCAGGTGTATACGAAGGATTGCTTGTAACAGATACTGAATTGGAGATCTGTGTTCAGATCCTGTGACCAAAAGCATGTCATCGTATCATGTTGGTGTGACTCGATGCTTTTGCTTGCATGACAAGTTTTACTGGTGCAGACTTTAATTTGCAGTGAGATAGCTGGAATATTGCTGACATGTTCTTCCACATAAGGAGCAAAACATCTTTTAGAGAAATTTAATAAAAACAAACTTGAACAACCATCAGAAACACCAATCAAAGTTGTGTTTAGTTAACAGTGATTTCAACGTGTCATTTCATCAGGATTTTATCAGCATCTTCTGAGACAGATAGTAATTTGTTGAAATTTGATTTTCAGGAAGAAGAAAAGAAGCTCCTATGCCGCACGTTGATATGTAAATCCATTGGCAGCCTTGTGGGAATTGTTGACAGCCATATTGGATTTGGAGGGCACTATGTTGGTTTTTGAGGCAGCCATTTTAGATTTGCTGGTAGATACCGTGGAAGATTTGGCTGTTTCATCGTTTGGGAGCTCTGGTGGAGTGTTGACAGAGGTTAATTCCATTATCTCAGGTTGTTTTACAGAAAGTTGTATGCTACCATGTTTATAAGGTCTGTCAACAGCAACAGGTTAACCTGCGTTGTTGATATACAAATGTCCATTTTAATATGCACTGTATTATCTTAGTGGGAAAATGGTATAACATGTGGGAATCATTGACCAAAGGCATTTTGGTAATTAACAGATACATAGACATTTGAGTATCTATTTGTTTGGGAAACATATTTTCTGTGATTGGGTATTCAGGTGATTACAGAATAAGATACAATGGTGGGTTTTAATGCTGGAATATTTAGTCAACCTTTTGTGATATGTAATAGTGCACAGGCTGTGGTGAAAGTAATATTCATTGAGGATTTTTATCAGTTTGGTTAATATGGTTACAATTTCTTTTCTGAAACCGTCCAGTCATCAATTCAGAAAGTAAGTACAAATATAATGCTACTTTCCTTTCTTCTAAAACACATTTTAAGGGTAAAACAATCACATGGTAAATTGCCTGTGTGCAAAAATTGCCTTTGGATTTGAACATAGTGAATGAATCTCAGAGCTTGGTATGAATCATTAAGAATGTGTTGTTGTTGTATAAATACTTACACCAAGAAAATAATAGTTACCTAATTTGTCACAGATGTCTGACATTCCTTCAAGATGAACTGTGTGTCATCGATTGGTAGAAGCTGAAGTGTTGAAAATATTTGCATTTCTGGAACAGTTTAATTTTTATTGGTTTTGGTCTTGTCTTAGTTTCAGGTTTGGAAACATCATAAATGTGAAACATTTTTAGAAATTACCCATCTCTTAGGGGAATTATTGAGCAAGTCTTTGTCATCATTTTTATGTATCTTTGTCAGACAAATGGCATCAATGTGATGCATGCAAATGTGTTGCGTATATCTTTGGTATATGCTGTTCATAATTAATGATACTGCCATTTCTCTGTTTCCTTCTGGAATTGTGGAGGACTGAGATTTAAAAATTTATTCATGTTTGCAAACTTTCAATATTTCAGCTATATGCAGCGGCCTGTAAATGATCGAGTCTGAACCAGACAATCCAGTGATCAACATCATAAACATCAATTAACTTGTGGATAAGTTTGAATGCAACATGTAATTCAAATCCTTTTGACATATCTTTGTTTTAGTTTAAACAAAATCACTAAATGTGGTAGTGTCACTGGATATTCTGGTCCATCACTTGATTGTCTCATGGCAGGTGTACTCCTGTTGGGAATCAGGCAACAATCAATCACCTTTCAATACAAATTGTGTTTGTGGTTGGTGCTTCAAGTTGACTTGGACATGCTTACCCATGGTAGTCGGGTAGTCCGCTCGTCACGCCTCACGCCGAAGCCCCGGGGTCAATTCCCCACAAGGGCACAATGTGTGAAGCCCATTTCTGATGTGCTCTGCCGTGATATTGCTGGAATATTGCTTAAAAGTGACATAAAACCCAACTTACTCGCATGCTTACCTTTTTAGCTAACACCGGGTGTCATCAATCTGTTACGTTTTTGTGTTATCTCCCCTTCCAGGTAAAAAAAAGTGAAATGGTAACACTAGAGGTCACTTGGTAATAATTCTGACTTATCTACATGTTCAAGGCATTTATATTTTTTTAGTTGCATTAGTTATAGGTAATACTTGTCATCAATCAGAATAATGTGTCACCACATGAAGTATGACACTGTATGACAGAGACATTTGCTGTAATATATTTGTTTGACAAGCACCCTGAAGCACTTTTGTACAGATTTAACATAAGCACGAGAGATTCGTTTGGAAAATGAATATTTCTATTGTACATCAGCATGATTGGATTCTTGTTCACCAAAGTAATATTCTTTTCTTCAGTTGGCAGACATCTACTGAGAGAAACAAATATAGGAACACAGGAGAATTCAAGGGTTCCTGTATATTTTTCAGTTTTCATCAGCTGCTTAGAATAGTGCTGTGGGAGGAAATCTGAGAATAAATAAAGTAACACTGGCATGAAGTGGTGTTCCCTTACTTGTTTCCCTCAGTATATAATGGAAATACTACTTCTGTTGTCATTCTATGTGTAGTGATGAAATTGCTCTGTACACTCAGTATCTAAAAGGTCAAAACATTTTGGGGGAAATCAGTTATTCAATGGAAATACTACCAACTGGTTGTGATATTTTGTTTTCTTTGGCTGAGAGTTTGATGAGTTTGGGTCTCTTCCCACATTAAGTTTACAGCTGTACACTGAAATACCGTTCAGAGCAGAATAATCAAATGTTTTGATGAAGACAATTTCTATTTTGTTCTGTTGTCAAGGTGACAATTTATTACTCAAAACAGATTGGAACCAAATATGACAATAGATTTTATTTTCAAGCTTCAAATCAAAATAATATTACTTTTATCTTATTTTTAGAGTAGATCTTCATCTACATGACAGAAACATAATGTATAATTTGCTACATGAATGCAAATTGATATGAATATGTGTTTGAAATATTAATATATGTTCTTTCAAGAATGTCTTAAGCACATGACACTGCTGATAATTTAGTTTGATGTTGTTTTTCAAAATCTGGCTCTTTGGACAGTTGTTTTCATGCCAGTAGACCAGTAGAAATTAACAAGAAATATTTACTGCTGGCATGAATAGTAAAACCAAGGCTAGCTACGGTTGTTGACATATCAATCCCTTCTTTGTCAATTATCAGTTCTGGTTTATCCTAATCTGTTCAACTCACTTTTCCCCACTGCTATAAAAGTTAAACAGTACATATTTTATCATTGTTAGCACACATTGGTGAGACTAAAACATGATTGGTTCTCTTGCTAAAATTTGTTAAGAATTGGTTGGCAAATGTGAAAATTCACCCTGTATTTTCATGTTTTGTCACTATAAAAGTAAGCCATGCAGATATGGAACTAATTAAACAACCTGTGAACTGATACCTTGTTTTAGCCTTAGCTCAAGTTGTATAATTTGTACAGCAATTGTTTCGGTACCTGATGCTGCTTAAGGTCGATTGCTTTGTAACTGTTTTTAATTCATTATAACATTTTTGTATTTTCATATGCATTGTAAATAAGCACATAATATATTAGTTGTATATCTTGATATGAAGGGTTCAGTTTTGTTATGGAGACTGAGATCAGTTGTGTTGTAATGTTGTTAAAAGGCATTGATATTTGATTCGGTTTATACATGGTTTGCCAAGTGCTATGGTGATTCAAATATATTGAAGGATTTTAGGAAATTATGCAAACATAGACAGGCTTGTTCGCCTTTAAAAACTGACCAGTCACTCTGCTTGTGGGTTTGTACTTACAGTTTGTGTGTTGTCATGACATCTCAGATATCTGTTTCTCAAACATTTACAGAAGATTGTCAATCCTTTACATAAAGACCATGACAAACAGAAATCTTATTTTGTGACAAATGGCTGTCAGCAATATTCCTGCTATTTCATGACTTGCAATATATAAAGGGCCATCTCATCTGTGTTGTTTGGCATAATGACTCAGCATTCAAGTAGTCCTGTCCACACATAGCATATAAATGCTCCCATAGCTATTATTTTGCCCTGTAGACAGATCTGCAAAGATATTTCAGCACTTTGACACAAAAGTAACATACAGTCTGACTTGCAAGTCATTGGATCCAAATTAATATTGTAGTGGGGCACAAAGATCATTTTGTGGGGAAAGGGCTGTAAACATTTGAATTTTTGTTTACAGACAAGCAAGATGGTCTTCAAATGACTTGAGGGTAGAATAGGTCTTCAGCAACCCATGCTTGCCACAAAAGGCGACTATTCTTGTCGTAAGAGACTAACGGGATCGGGTGGTCAGGTTCGCAGACTTGGTTGACACGTGTCATCGGTTCCCAATTGGGCAGATCGATGTTCATGATGTTGATCACTGGATTGTCTAGTCCAGACTTGATTATTTACAGACCGCCGCCATATAGCTGGAATATTGCTGAGTGCGGCATAAAACTAAACTCACTCAAATGACTTGACTCCAACTTGCTGGGACAGCACAATGAACTCAGCCAAGCTAATGATTTGTTTGAGTGGTATTCTAGAAGTTGGTGGTATAGAGATGACAAAACTTTATGGATGATCGTCCATAAAGAAATAAATTAGTTGATCATCCATAACGTTTTGTCATAGCCATGCTAATGTTAAGACAACTAATTGTGATTGTTTTTAGGACACATGGTCAACTACAGTCTAAAAAATGTGACAGTCTAAATTAATGTTTGTTGTTCATTTGAGGAAAAATCTATTATGAAGTCGTTTAAGTTTTAGTCATAACCAGTAGGTGCCTTATCTTAGTAACTACCAGAGTGACTCTAGACTTCTGTGATAATCTATCCAGTAATAACTTATTACTGATATTTTTGTCCATTATCAGTTTCATATTTTGGTGATAATGTTTTACTTTTGCTGGATTTTTTTTTATCGTAAATTCTTGTTTGTTTTGGGGTTTATTTCATCTCTTAGGATTCAGAGTGTCATTTCAATTGATGATTTAGTAAATTTTCCTTGTACTCAAGATTGTATATAAGGAATTTTGAACCTTATCGTTGTTGAAATATTGTTGATGAAATGTATATATTGTAGATAAATGTCCTTTCAGTGTTTTGATTCTGTGTGCTTGAATTCTTCCTGAACCAAGATAAATGTGGAGACAATTGAGGCTTTCTAAAATGGCCCAAGATCTTAGTAGATCTGGTTATTTTGGTTGACTGAGTTTTGTTTTCTTTGTTTGATTTTTTGTTATGGCAAAAATATACTTGCACAGTTTGTTTTGTTTGTTTGCCTCTTGTTCAGAAGGACTAGACTTTCAGATGGCATGAAGTTACTGCATCACCTGAAAAACACATACTTAGGGTTATTTCTGTGCATTGAACTTCATCATAAGAACTTATGATGTAAGACTGTTTGTTCTAACATGTAAGACTGCAATTGTTGTCAAGATTGTTTAAGTTTGGGATAAGAAAGTCCTGTATTAATCCCTGATCTACACCAAAGCGACTTAAATCACAATTATGTCATTACCATAGATTTGTTTCCATTTCTTCTTTACACAGGTTGACTTTGTGACTCAATGAGCTTGAATGCTTAACATGTTGAGCAGAGTTAAGTCCCTTTGAGCTGGTTGTAGGTTCCATTCAGATTTGTGATGATTCTTAAGTTATCATGCTATGTAAACCAGCAACAAGACATGTGACACTTCCCCTTTCATGATGACACACTATGATATAACTGAAATGTGTTCCAAGCTGCAAACCCAACTCACGTTATGCCAAGGAATTTGACTGCATTACCTCCATTATACAATCTGCTTATTGTTTGCAGCAATCAATTTGTGTTCTTTGTTATGATTGGCTGTTCAGGTCACAAGAAAAATGAAAGCTGGCATTTCATTGGATACTAGTATATGATCTCTTGTTCCATGAGCTTGCAAGCTGTACTCATTGCTTAATTTTCATTCACCATTTCAGATGTAACATTCCATGGTGTGTTCAACTCTCAATTATTCAATGCTTTCACTAAAATTTCACGTACTTATATCATAGTAATATGAGGCACTTAAAACAAAATTAATTGGGGAATCTTTAAAATCATGATCAAATTATTTTCAGATATTGAGGGACTGTGAGCAAATAGTTCAAACATCAATGATGTAAATGTTTTTGATATTTGTTTTGCAAGTGTATACACCATTTATGCTGCCATTTTATGCAAAAGATATCAAAATACTGTTGGGAAAATTAGGACTTGCTCAAATGTTTGGGCCTTGTAGAGGACACTTGTAAAATTTACTTGCTGATAAGTTTTGAAGTTGTTTGGGGTGCCTTTTGTAATGGGGCCTAATACAATATATGTGATTTTAACTGACAGAAATCCATTACTTCGAATATCAAGAAATGTATGTAACAACATCACAATGTAATATATATACTTCATATGATTCATATTTCTTGGAGTTATGATGGAAGAAGTTGCTTTAGTTATAGGATGCAGAATAGGCATCAAGCTTCTTTGCATCCATGGTGAGTCGTTTTGGGCTCTTCTAAAGTTTTTGACACTATTAACACGGTAACCTAATAGTATTCATAAAGTAAATACTGTAGGCCTTGTCCCAGTTTCATGGATGCTAAATGAGTACTTGATTGGTTTGACACAACAGAACAGAGATTAAAACCTTTGATTGAGGAAATGATATGGGACAATTAGTATCTACATGTATTAATATTAGTTTTCATTAATAGAACATAACTAATTTAGACTCAGATTTTGTATGATTTTTGGACACACGGTGTTCACCTCATGTTGATTCTGGAATACATGGAAAATTAGTTGTATATTGAACATTATAAATATTCAGCTGTTAATGGCTTGTTTCACATATTTTAACTACAGTAATTCAATGTAGAAGCTTTGAACATACCAGCTGGATAAGAAATATCAGTAAGTGGTGTGTGTTTTAATGTTACAATTTATCGTGTTTGGTGGAATTTGGTATCAATGATACATGTGGGCTCAATTTGTAAAACAAATGATTTCAAATGAACAGTTTAACACTCTGTATTAGATAGAAAGGTGATTATTGATGTATATTACTACCGTGTTTCTTCTGAAGCATTTTCTGCTGAGTGGACAGATTTACAATCTTTGTTGCATGTTGGACCAGTATGTTTGTATGTGAAGCATTTTGTAAATCTGAACTGACTAATACATGTAATAAAGCCTAACTGCTTGAATCTGTAGTTTACAATCATGTTATGTTATTACCTTTGTTGTCAAATAACCTGTATTTGATGAAATGTCTCTACTGATATCAGAATACATTTGTGGGCTATTTGAATAATTACAGCTCTTTGTGGATGCTCTTGATTCTCTTCTTCCTTTTGAAGAAAAATGAATATCAAGAAATAAATCAATTTCTACCTAAATTTCAGTTGTATGCGAATGAGTGTGACTTCTCCCAAGTTGTGGTGCACAACATATTAATTGTACTGTGACATGAGAAATGGGAATCAATTTATTATTACAAATATCATATCAAAAGTACTTTTAACATTATACTTTTTCCACAGAAATTCATTGATGTGAACTTCACACTGAAAAGCAATCTTTATAAAAGGAAAATTAAAGATGTAAACATTAGGAATGTTCATATATTACTATAATAGTGTTGATATGGCATTGTGGTAATAAAATTCTTAGTTTCTCCTATTAATACAAACATTTAATATACCTGAGAAATTACTGGCCTTACTGAATCAATTTTGTTAGTTGTTAGGTCCTCTGCCTTTGCAGTTAGTAAACTATTATTATAAAAAATATAGCATCAGTGATCTCAGAATGTCGTCGTCACTCGATGCATGTCAACAGGAAATTGTTCAATCGGTTGGGTCTATCTTTGCCACCACCGTGTAGACCAGCCATGTTTTGATCAAAATCAAACACTGTCAATGACAAAGGAGAGGCAGCTCAGCAGTGGTGTACAAACATTCAACCTGCTTTTCAAGTGTGCAGATAACGGCAGAGCCAGGTCATGGGTGTCTTGACTGTACATGTGTACACTGATGTATGCTCACTGCAAGGTTATGACTTGCCTACCTGTACACTAGGATGACTGTACAGTTTCTCATTGTCCTGGGGGAACCAGGTGTGGAATAAATCATTTTCAGTATGTATGAGCTTGTTTATTTTTGGACTCTGGTTGCCCAGCTGCTGCGGTTAGCTTTGCAGTTACTTCTATTAGGATTTATCAAGACTTGCTCAGAGGCCAACCTAAGGCAGTAAAATTTCCCAAATTGGAATTTAAAAAATGTTGAAAACATGTGATTATTATGATTACAGAGACCAATGAAGATCCGGGTTAGAATTGATCTTCAGTAACCCATGCTCGACGAAAGAGGCAACTAATGGGATCAGGTGGTCAGGCTCGCTGACATGTCATAGTATCCCAATTGCATAGATCGATGCTCATGCTCATGATCACTGGATTGTCTGGTCCAGACTCAAAATATTGATAGATCACCATCATATAGCTGGAATATTGCTGAATGCGGCATAAAACTGAACTCACTCACTCACTATGATTATAGAACTGATGTGATTGTTTTGCATTTCACGGATAAAATTAAACAGTAACCAGATGAGGCTGAAGTGCTTAGATGCACCCAGATTACTATTGTTTTTCAACCCTATAATTGCCCTGTGGTCTAGCAGACAGAACATTTGCCAGGTTATTGGTCAGATATTCTGTCCCCTGATATCTCATTAATTGCCTTTTACAACAAGCATGATTTGCTGAAGACCAATTCTAAGACGGATCTTCACGGTACCTTCCTAAACGGGCTTATGATGTAGCCTAGTGGTAAAAGCATCATAACGTCACATCGAAAACTTGGGTTCAAATCCCCACATGGGTACGATGTGTGAAGCCAATTTCTGGTGTCCTCCATCATGATATTGCAGGAATATTGCTAAAATCATACTCACTCCTTCCTAAAGACTATGAAAGGAGGTTTTCTTACTCTGCCCGGAGTATTACTAAAGACAGAGATGCCAAACCCAAAGTGTTGCATATAGTACGTTCAAGTTAGTACAGCTCCACGTAAGAATCATGCAAAATCGAGAATAAGTCGAAAATCATGAATGTGGTTTAAAATTTCAGAATTTGATCACATCACTATATTAAAACATCACTGTGAATCATGAACTTTGAGAAAGATAATATGACACTAATCAAGAGTGAAGCTTTAATTTCACATACCTCCAACAGCAGATTTCCAAATTATCAGCATCACGTCTCATCTTGACGTCTCTTTTTGGCGAAAATGTATGTTTTTGTCAATATATCCAAATTTTAATGAATTTTCTTCAAATTTCGTAGAAATTCTAGTGCAATCATGTTGGTGTGGTTTGAGGCTAAAATTCATAGTGACTACGATAAGATCGTAGAGGTTGGCATCTCTGTAAAGACACATGACCACAGAATTCCACTTGTGTATGAATGGAATTCTTGGGATACATAAACGTGAAATGAAAAACAACCAAATACAATTCCCAATTCTTGAAAAAACAATTTCTATAAAATCTTAATCTTTCATATTTTGTTTTATTTCAAATTATACAAACAACATTTTGGCAGTGACTAAAACCAGAAGCAACCTAAAGTAAAGCTGCACCACACACTCTCTTGACACCTTGTACACACTTGCAGGTGTCTGCTACAACGTTCTGTCCTGACACACTATGTATAAATACACATGCAGGTGTCTTGACCAACAGGACTTCTAATCAGACTTCTAAATGGAACCTCCATACACCTGAAGAACTGATCCTCAAAACACCACGCCAGGCTAATCGAACATAACCAAAGGAAATCTTGCTCTACTGGCCCTATACAGATCATATTGTGACCACTGATAATGCAAGCTCTTACTCCAGTATTATACCTCTCCGTTTCAAAATCTGAGGACACCTTTGGAAGTTCCAATCGTCTAATTTCTCTGTTCGAGGCAAAGAGGCATAGGATATATATATTTTTATTATAGGATATTTATATAGCGCACATATCCACGCACTAGTGCATGCTCAAGGCGCTGGTATTTTTTCCATCGATCATTGGATGTCAATCTCAACGTCACATTGCATTTTCAATCTTAACTCCCTGGGGAGTATACAACTCTTGCAGCCACTAGGCACACCGAGTTATTGTGGCTTTCTCATCCTAACGAGGTTAGGCATTCTCGTAAGTACAACTGATTTCAAGGAAACCAACTAATCAGGGACTTCTAATGTCAAACAGTGAAGCCTCACCACTTCATTGTTGTGAATATAGTGTTCACACTTTGCTAGGGATCAAATCATTGATCAACAGAAAACTGATGTGGGGTGAAATTTGGTTTAAATATCTAAGCTTATTGTAAGCATGGATCCTAGGTTTCAGTATGCCACTGCATCTTGTGGATCCCATACCTGCTATTGACAGGTGTTGTATACTTGTCAATGACCCGTGCCATGATTTGCAAAATGGTTGGTTGGTGCCATGAAAACCATTTTTATGGTTATTCGTGTATCAAGTGCCTACGATTAGCTTAAAGTGGCTGTTTTCCTAAAGATGTGTTACCATATCATTATTTATCCACTTTTAAATGGATACAATTTTAAATCATAAATCTACGTTTAAGTAAAGTTACGAATTGCTGTGATCCTTAACAAATATATTACACATCTGTAACTTGTTAGTTCTGGGGTATATACATCTTAAAGGAAATGCCACCATGGAACATCTGTGTTGTGTGGGTTTCAATCAAGGTTTTATTAAGTTATTTGAAAGGTGATACTTGTCCTATGAATCCACACAACCTCCAGTTTTCTGATCTTCACACAGAGAGGTATGATTGAGTAATTTATTTAATACTAAATAAGTCTTTCACATGTCAAAGGGCATGATTCCTGTGATTGTGAACCCAGTCCACTACAGCATACATCTATCATCACATTCAATATTTTCTCTGACAAAGATCATTCACCATTCTTTACAATAACCCTTACTACGGTTGGTTAACTGCTACTTCTCAAGTTCACACAATAAACCCATCACACTCCAAACATAATTCATTCACAATATACAAGTTAAATGTGTTATAAATACTGTAAAGCATGGCGCCATCACGTACCAATTCACAAAAGCCTTGAAGATCTTTGGAATAACATGTTACACAAGTGGTATAAAGACACCTTGCACCAGGTCTGGAAGCCTTGATTTCAAATATGGCCTTCAAAACACGAGGAATGATAACTTACAGCAATTCAGTCACAGTATACAATGGTGGAAATGCTGAAAGGCATAGGCAAGCACTTGCATACATAACAGTTAAACAAAATGCTCAGTCAGGTCCTTAGACTGATGTTAATTGACCTTGATCACAATACATAATTCAAAGCTATCCTTGTATTCATTTGGCTTTGTTTGTTTGGCTGTCCATGCATTCTGTATCGGCCATACATTCAGATCAGTCAAAACCTGCTCGTCATCATGGTCATACAGCCATGTGGCTAGAGCATGCCTCTTGTAATGACACCACTTGGCGCTGATAGTGTTGCCGCACCAAGACCGATTTCACTTGACCTTTGTTTGCAAAATTCACACAAGCTCTGTGGAGAAATAGATTGAAATTGGTGAGTGATGATGTAAAAATCAGGACAAGATGTCACATACACAGCAACAACTTTGGAGTGAGTGAGTTTAGTTTTACATCGCACTCAGCAATATTCCAGCTATATGGCGGCGGTCTGTAAATAATCGAGTCTGGACCAGACAATCCAGTGATCAACAGCATGAGCATCGATCTGCACAATTGGGAACCGATGAAATCAACAACTTTGGAAATGAAATGCCAAATTACTGTTTAGAATATTTTTCAAACCAACACAATGCAACTGACTATTTGTATATTAGCTCAATAATGAAAGCTGAAAAAACACATGGACACAATAGATGTTGATCATGTATCTGCTATTAGCATGATTAACCTATTGAAAGGCATTTATCTAAAACAATCATTGACATGATTACCTGAAATGTCCTTGGCTCATAAATGGCAATATCAGCCAACACCTTTCTGTTAAGGGCAATGTTGGACTGAAACAGGATACAGACAACAAAATCTTACAGTAAATAACTGTATATTTGTTTCGTATACAGCATGTAATTAGGTCCACAGTTCAGGTAGGCCAGACCAAATAAATTTCCTTTGTGTGTTCATAGTAAGTGAAGAAAGGGGTAGACACAACAGTGTAATCTGGATTGATTTGGGGTTAATGTCTTTAGAAAATAAAGGAAACAATTTCTGAACAAGAAATATGAACATGGATGTTAAAAAACAGTTTGTCTACCACATTTCACAATGTTTCATAACCATGATACAAGCATGGCTGCTGTTGCTTTGTTTGGTATCATTACAAACAAGACATTGTGTGGCCCAGATTAAAGTTAGATAGAAGGTAAAATTTAAATTAATTCCATAATGGAACCATTAAGCAGGTCAAGTATTAAAGTACATGTCTCAGAGGGATGGGAATGGATGATTAGGCTGCTGGATATGTGAAGGGGATGCAAGTGAATGATTGTTATGTGACATGATCTATGCTTTTGGGCCTGTGATGTTCCAATCGGAATAAGGCTCACATTTGAACATAATCATTATGACAAAGTATGAACCTAATCCAACTGACATGTCTCCACGTCCCCTACCTCTGCCAGAGACGTCATAAACTGGGACAGTCCAATGCCATGCTCCCCACATGCTGCTGATATTCTTGTCTCCCACAGCTGAAATTAGAGTTACCATGGTTGAATCCCAAAATACAAATGTGACATCTGATACTGTAACAAGATTAGGTTATTGGTGGACATGAATTCAAATATTTCAAAGCAATGCGCTTTCCTGGATCTTTTAAGTAGCCTTTGACAGGTATGAGATTGCCTTCTTTTCAATGGCAGAGTTGGATAAAAAATGTTTTAGTTAAATGATAGCATGAAAACTTAATGTGGAATGAACAAGATAAATGCCCAATTGCTGCACAGGTCATACATATTTCAGGAAATTAAGTGAAACACATGAAAGTATGGTGTCACAAACACATGAATTATAATCAGGGTGATTCAGACATTGAACACATGACCTTGTGTGACAAAGGGTCGCAGTTAACTGTACCTATATAAAGTACACCTGCCTAGCATAATGAAGATTCAGACAGTAATATCAGCCGACAGAAATGATCAAAATTTCAGTGTTTCTGACAATGTGACATACCTGTTTCATGCTCTTCTTTTTCTGAGAACGTGCTCTGTTTGAATGTTGGAGTGCTCGTCTCACTGAGCGAATTGAGATACCATAACAATTCCGTTTTCGGCGCAGGAAATTCTGTAAATATGTCATGAATATTGAAACATCAAATTAAGAAAATGTAAAAACTAGTTTATAAAAAATAACCATGAATTATGTTCATGGAAGGTACTTCCTTTCACTGGGTGTTTTTTTATGTTGCCAGATAGGCCTGACCAATTTTATTTCTTGTTGTACGGATCCATCGGTCATATTTTTTCATGAATAAAAAAATAATTAATTAATTTTCCCCACTCAAAATCCTAATGTTTGTTTTGGCAAAAAATGTAAACAAGAACATTTTTTTAGATTAAATTTTGCCCCATATACACTTGATAAATTGCCAAAAGTAAAATATTTTTATTGTTTAGAAGGAATATTACTTTGACTGATGATTTTTTTTCCCCTCCTGCCTTCAGGTTTTCTGAGGACAAAAATCTGTAAAACAAGAAAAAAGAAATAAAATTGGTCTGGCCTTAGCATGACAAGCATCAAATGAGTAGGGCATCAAACACATACTGCCAGCTCCGCTGACCCAGTCATTTAATCAACACCTAAGTACTGCTGTCGAAAACACAGAGATCATTTTGGATTTTTGGATGAGGGCCCATACTATAATTTAAGTATAAATATGAGAGGACCCAATATCCCGTGGTACAACAACAATGTTATCTGGGGAGGGTATGGGAGAGAGCACTCTTCCATCGGTGGGGGATTTGTGGGTCCTCACACAGGAAAATTTGGAACTTTTTCAATGAAATGCTGACATCTGAAGCTGTGAATATATATCCAGTCCTTTTCTGGAGTTTTTGTGGCTGTACAGTAATGCTCAATGTTCTTTGTCAGGTTTCATGAATATTAGCTATCATCGTCAACACCAACACCTATGGTGCTCATTAATACAGTGGACACACTAGTGTCTTATCTTATTTCTGAAACTATTTCCTCAAAACTCTTGAAGATCACACAGAACTGAGATAGCAGGATGTTACAAACAACCCATATTCTAAGAAGAGTCCTGAAGGATGGTTTGACCAACGAGCTGATTCCACGCTAACATGCATATCTTGGCCCATTGATCGAGAGAATGGACATTACAGCTGAGCCTGGTAAACTGAGTTCTTGACTACTGACACATGGTTGAGGTCTCAGGTCACATTAGAAATAAGGTTCCTGAGATTAACTTTGAGGCTTATCACTGCATTTGACAGATGTTTATGGACATTTTGAACTTACAGTCTGGACATTTTGCTAAATGTAAATAGCAGTGACTATCGAAATCTATTCGAATGTCATGCAAATTAATCTTCTTCTGGGGTTTATGCAGAAGTATGACGCAATTTATTGATCTTTAAGTTGAAAGCACGAAATATTACCCATGACATTCTCCTCAGCATAGCCCTCTTAAAGTATCGTTGGGGTCCCCTGGACCTCGTCATACAACAGACAGTCAAATACATGATGTCAGTATGATGTCAACAATAGTTTCTCCAGGATATCCTTCTAGATTTCGCAAGCGGATCGGCTGTATCCGTGAACATGTGTTTCCAGAATTATCTCCTCCTGTCAGGTGCCCGTTTCCGGATTTCACTGTAGAATATTCAATACAACTGTTTACAATTACCAACATTTAATGGTGACTTCTGTCGAAAATTACTCGTAATTTGAGTTGTACTTCGATGAAAACATTTCATCATAATTGTTAATGAACATATTATATGTAAAAATTCTTTGTTTTTTATTTCAAGTGGATAAACAATATAAAGCACAGCCATAATTTCAAACAGTTCTTTGAACCATTTCGCGTTCATATTAGCCCAGTAAACAGGCATTCGAAATGGGGACATTGAAATTTATGCTTGGTCAGATGACTAATAAACTAATAATAACATTCAAAATATAATACAAAAAATTGAAGGTTTCTTTTCAAGGTACTCAAATCACGGTCTCTTCACATTCATACCAGCTGATCGCTTGGTCAGAACAATTCTATGTGTAAAACTAAAATATAATTGTTGGTAAGTATTCCAATATTTAACACGACATTCTTCTCCAACGATCAGACATAATTTTCATTTTTTATTTTATTCACACCAATATTGACTGAGCTGACATTTTCATTTTTGTTTTTGAAAATAACTAGTCGTTCTGCAAGACGTATATTGCAATTTTTCGACCCCCGCCAACCTTGACCTTGGAGTTCACGTCGGTCAGTCAAAAAGCCGTAAACTTTCCGGATCACACCATTCTCTGAACGTGTGGCGTGGAAGACAGTTGATAGCTATTCATTCATTAACCAAAATCATCAGACACAATGGCTCAAGCAAAGTGAGTATCCATATCATATTCGAAAAACGTTTTAGCTGCCCTCTAAGCGTCTCCCATGAGGAAGTTTAGTTCACTGTTCACGGGGCATTGGGCTGCAGCCGGCGAGTGAATTTGCAGTGTCATCCTGCTATATGCATGGGTGTTGTTTCAAACAAGTTCATGATAGCGTTCAGAATTATTTTCGTGTGTCAAATATCATTTTGCACACTGACAACTTTACAACATGTGATGACATTTTGATTTGAGTAAATCTATAACCATGAAAACAGTCATGCCTATAACACTAACAGCTGATTTAGAAACCAAGCTTGACATGAGCATGCTATACCAGAGGTGACATTTACAATGTGAATTTTATCTTTAATTAGAAATTTACATTCAAGATTCTTTCATACATTTGTCAGTTAAGGCAATTTTATTTTGGTTCAGATCTAGATGTATATTTCTTGTATTTTTCAGAAGCATTGTATGTTAGTTCCACCATTATAAAATAACATGCATTCTCTTTAGAATCAGCATCAGTAATTTTTATGTTCATAGAAAAGCAGAAGTTTATAAACATATTTTCTTGGCTGAACAGTTATACCACAAGCCTCCAAATGTTGGAAATTCTAGCCTCCTTCAGGATAACTTTGGTATTAACAAAACTGGCCAGGGCTTGTGCTAAATTCTGAATTGTGCTAAGTAAGATATTGTGTACATAATTATGACAAAGCTCATTGATGCTCTAAGGCTCCATTCTATTTTCATGCTTGTAGTGATTAGTAAACTGATGTTACTATAACATGATATAGCTGTGAGTGTGAGTGACATCTTTCAAGTAACTGAAAAATGTATGGTAAATGTAGTTGTCACTTTCAGATCCCACTTGTCTGAGAGTTCATATATTTTTTAACAATATACTGGCTAAAATGTCCCCAAGTGGGTTTGCTTAAAGCAGTAGTGCCAAAATGGGGTGTTAAAAGTGGACACAAATGGACTTTCCTAGTCAAGATTAACTTGCCAGTAGCTGCAGTTCTCATTCATAATGGGGAAGATTTCTTCCAAGCTAGCTTTGTAGTTATATCCCCTTGAGAAGGCATGTTGAAATTCTTGTTTTATAGATTGGTTAATGTTATTCTAGAGGAGGAATAGTCGAAGGGATGAGTCAGCCTTTTCAGGAATGACAAACTATTTTCGAAGTCAGACACTTGTTCTTCCTTTGGAACCACGTTTTCAAGCCTGTCTAAACTCTGACTTTAGAAACCTGAGTTCTTGATAGCAGTTGCTCATGCATGCATTATGATGGACGATGACAGGTTTTACTTTGAGTCGTATGACTCTGAGTTCTTCATGGTATTTTCCTTCAAAATGTCCTCTCCTTGTGAACATATCCTTGTACTCTTCCATTAGCCCTTGCTTTGATTTGACAATAACATTTCTTTGCATCAGTAATCAATTACTTGGTCTTTGAATGACATTTAGAAGTGTTACACATAAGAGAATTTTTATGGATGTCCACTTCTTCATCATGAGGAACACAACGTTTCGGAGTATGTCCATACTCCTTCATCAGCAACTGCTATCAAGAACTCAGGTGATGAAGGAGTAAGAATATACTCCGAAACGTGTTCCTCATAATAAAGAAGTTGACATCCATAAATATTCTCTTCCTATAGAAATACTTGCTGCTAGACACAGAAATGTGAACTTGTTATCTCATACCATGATGGCTCACAAATGTAAAGACGAAAGTAAACATGGTTATCAGAATTTTGTAATTAGTCATTTTCTTTGCATTTTTTTATTTGTTACTGACTCCTAAACAGTGCATGAAAATCAAAACCTCGAGTTCTCGCTAGCAGTGTTTTGACTATTTTTTTAAGGGTTTTCAGAAATCTCAAAACAAACAATTTCTTAACCTCTTTTACCAGTCACTTAAACACATGAATAATCTCAAATTATTAAACGATTTTCATGTCTAAAATCACATGATTCATCATACTTTCTAGGTCTGTGATGAGATGGTCTAACGACCCTGTACCTTTGCTCAATCCCCCAGAACAGATAACATTCAATAACCATGTTATTTCTTGTGTTACAACACTGCTCTTCTCTTGAGCCTATGAACTGTCGAACTTGAGAAACATTAATGTACATGTTAATATTCTACAGTGAAGCAGCATAGCAAATGTGTCAGGTAGTCATTTTAGTGATGTGTGTCATTACAGCTGAAATTTCAACATCATCCTTCAAAGGAAAGCTGGTCAGATATATTTTGAACCAATCCAGGACTGACTGTGTATTGTTTTTAGTTCATTGAGGTATGAATTAAAAATTGTTGTGCAAACTGTATGAATCCACGTATAAATGGATCTAGTATCTACATCACTTTAATCTGTGTAAATCAGAGCAAACAGAATTGCCGAAATTGACAAATATTCCAGGTAGGCATGCAGCTGTATGCTATGAATCAGGATATTGTTTAATTTATGCTGATGCCCTGACACACCCAAAAGTAAAACAACTGGAACAATTATCTCAAGGATAAAACAGATGTTCTAACATTGTTTAATTGACATAATCAGAAATGACGATCTTGATCATGATTGCCATGTTGCTCTCACACCTGAACCCTCCCTTGGGGAAGGTGGGGAAGCTCCATCCAGAGGTCTTCATTTGGATACACCAGCAGTTGGGCTCTCTCCAGGTCGAATATTGAGTTAGCCAGGTCCATGTCACTGATCCTGAATGCAAGAGCATGTGATCTTGATCATGCGACCTTGATCATGCTGATTCTCCACCCATCTCATTGGAAGATCTTAGAATGGAGGTTTTCTCAGCTACAGTCTATTTTTCTTTGGGTACTCCAGCAGATCAAAGCCCCCAACAAAGTATGTCAAGCCTTGATCACACCCTTTTGGCCATTGGTTATACATTGCCGGTCAGGACTATGGAGCTTCCATAATGGAAGAATACATGACCTTCTGGCAAAGCCTCACTCTCAAGATGCTCTTGGGCATCATACAGGTTCTTTAGTAGCCAAAAGCTATGTTGACGATGTTTGAAAGCTATTGTTCAGCCATGAAACTTCAATTTCCCAGTGAAGCTTCACAACGTCAACATGCCATCAGTACTGTCGTCCCTCCTGGAAGTAGCATCAAGATCTCAATGGGGAAAGGTGTCTTGGTCTATGTTAATCCTGATGAGTGTGATAATGGACGCAATGTAATTTATTAGCACATCCACAGGGACGCAGAAAAAGTCCAAATTATTTTTGTAAAACTTCCAATTGAGTAACAATAAGTTATCACTGAGTTTGCAACTAGCTGGGTTATGGAATCATTTGCAATTTAATTACTGTAACAATGTGATGATCATGATACACAATACAATAACAGTATTAATAATAATATTTAAGTGTCTGGGACCCCCATTTTGTAGTCCAGGACCCCTGAAAATTAAGAATATGAGTCCCAGGGACCCTCAAATACAGGGCTCGAGGTAAATCCCTGATTGGGCTATAAGCAGCATTGTCATAATGTATTTTTTGCTTTAGAATAAAAAATTGAAATGTTTCAACCAAAGCAGTTACATGGCATGTTTGTTATTTTAGTTTCTTAAAGTTAAATATAAATGATTTATGAATAATTTTGTGATTTTGTTACCCTATGTTCATGAAATATATCTTATTCACCTTGTTGTGTATGTGTCACAGCCCTAGTTTTTATGTGATATCATACATTGGATATTTAAAATGCCTTTTAACAAGCGCAATAAGCATGTATTAACTGAAACATGTATCTGTATCCACATTAAATAAAGTAATTTAAAGGTTACAAACCACAATTTTATGTTAAAGTCTTTGGTGTCATGCTGCTTTCATTCTTTGTATCCTTACTTTCTTTCTTGTCCAATACATACCAAGATGCATGTTCACAGCATTTAACCCTGTTTCAAGGACATCATGAGGCAGATCCTGTTATAGTTCTTTGTGAAATCCATGGTCTGATTCACACAGGTTCAGTTTGACAGAAAACGGTGATTTATGACCAGCTGATTACCTTGTTTTGGGGATGGCTGTTAGTGTGGGAACTGTTATGCTCTGGTTGATAGAGTGAGGGATTTATTGGAGGGGTACAGATGACCTTCTGTCTGAAGCATCCATGATTTGACAGAGGGATTTATTGGAGGGGTACAGATGACCTTCTGTCTGAAGCATCCATGATTTGATGGAGGGATTTATTGGAGGGGTACAGATGACCTTCAGTCTGAAGCATCCATGATTTGATAGAGGGATTTATTGGAGGGGTACAGATGACCTTCTGTCTGAAGCATCCATGATTTGATAGAGGGATTTATTGGAGGGGTACAGATGACCTTCTGTCTGAAGCATCCATGATTTGATGAGGGATTTATTGGAGGGGTACAGATGACCTTCAGTCTGAAGCATCCATGATTTGATAGAGGGATTTATTGGAGGGGTACAGATGACCTTCTGTCTGAAGCATCCATGATTTGATAGAGGGATTTATTGGAGGGGTACAGATGACCTTCAGTCTGAAGCATCCATGATTTGATAGAGGGGATTTATTGGAGGGTACAGATACAGATGACCTTCAGCCTGAAGCATCCATGATTTGATAGAGGGATTTATTGGAGGGGTACAGATGACCTTCAGTCTGAAGCATCCATGATTTGATAGAGGGATTTATTGGAGGGGTACAGATGACCTTCTGTCTGAAGCATCCATGATTTGATAGAGGGATTTATTGGAGGGGTACAGATGACCTTCAGTCTGAAGCATCCATGATTTGTCCAGGTTTCCATGTCCTCATGGGGGGCAATGTGTAAATGATGATTCAGCTCAGCTTAGTCCGTGACATACATATCAACTATTTAAAGCAATAACAAGAGTTATTACTGTAAATGAGACCATGTGGTCAGGCTTGGTTGACAGATGTTTTTGTATCCCTATAGTGTAGAGCAATGCTGATAATGTCGACCACTGCGTTGTCTGG